GAAGAATGGCACAATTTTCAGAATAGGGGAACAGGACTGCATCACCGGAGACACCCTATCCTTGTTAGAGTTATGATTTATGTTTCCTTGAAACATTTCCTTGAAACACTTCCTATTATACACCCATCCAGCAGCATTATTTCAAAAGTTAATTTCCCTGGTATCTTCTTCAATCAACCCAGATGCCCAAATCAATTTTCTAACATCATTTCCTTTCCTGAATTAATCAGTTCTATGAAATCTAGTTCAAAATTGAAATATTTTTTATTTGGGTTTATATACTCCTGTTCATTTCTTGTATATAATGTACATTTTTATGTTGTATGATCTCAGTATTATCTGATGTAGTAAATGAATGAGAAAGTGATTTTAAAACATTCAGCAATATTATAAACGTAGTAAAAAAATCTTACTAAATAACAATTTAAATTAAGATAATTAACTTACATGTTGTCCCACATTTCTTTTTTTTTTTTTTGTGATGAGAACATTAAATTCTATGATCCTAGTGATTTTCAAGAATACAGTACACTATTAACTATAAATTAATTATTTTTAGACTGATTCGTCCTAATCATAATTTTGTGTCCTTGGAGTAACAGTTTCCCATCCTCCACCCTCTGCTCCTTAGTAGTTATTCTACTCTGTGGGGTCAACATGTAATTGAGGTCTTTCTGAGCCTGGCTTATTTCATTTAACGTGTCTCTATCCACATTGTTGCAAATGATATGTTTTCTACTTCTTGCCAGGCATGGTGGCAAGTATCTGTAATCCCAGCGCTTGGGAAGCTAAGGCAGGAGGACCGCCATGAGTTTGAGGCCAACCTGGGCTACACAGCGAGACCCTGTCTCAAAAAGAAAAGTCTACTTCTTAAAGGCCAAAGAATATTTCATTGTAGGTGCATATCACATTTTCTTTATTCATACATCTATTGATATATGTAGACTGGTTAATTCCATATCTTGCCATTGTGAATAAGGCAACTGTAAGCATGAGAGTGGAACTCTCTTTTTGAATTGCTAATTTTATTTCCTTTGGATTTACACCAAATAGTGGGATTTCTAGATCATATGGTAGATTGCAAGATCATATGGTAGTTCTATTTTCAATTTTTTGAGGAATTTTCATACTACTTTGTATAATGGCTCTACTAATTTACATTCCTACGAAGAATACACAAGAGTTCTAATTTTTCTATATCTTTGCTAACACGTTATCTTTCATCTGTTTGATAATGACCATTCTGATTGGTATGAAGTGACATCTTATTGTCAGTTTAATTTGCATTTTGCTGGTAATTAAGGATGTTGAGCACGTTTTCATGCATCTGTTGGCCATTTGTATGTCTTCTGCTGATATTTCCATTCAAAGCTCCTTTGCCTTTGTTTTAATTTTTTCTTGCTCCTGAGTTGTTTGAGATCCTTGTATGTTTTGGATTTTAGCCACTTATGTACCTGTTTTGCAGTAATGATTTTCTACTCCATAGGTTGTCCCTTTTCTCTGCTGACTGGTTCCTTTGCAGTGGACATACTTTTTAATTTGATGTGATCTGCATTTGTCCATTTTCACTTTCATTGCCTGTATTTTTGGTGTCCTGCTCAAAAATTATTGCTCAGCCCAGTGTTAGAGAAGTTTTCCCCTCCTCCTCCTTCCAGTTCTTTGACAGTGTTAGTTACCACATTTACGTCTTACTCCATTTGAGCTGACTTTTCTAATGGTGCAGAATATGGTTTAGTTTCACTCTTTGGAATATGGCTGTCAAATTTCCCAGCACTATTTATTGAAAGAGACTATTTTTCCTCCGTTGTGTATTCATGGCATTTTTGTTGAAGGCCAACTGATTGTTAATGGGCTGGTTTACTTGGACTGTCTAACATGTTGCATTGGGCTATGTGTATGTTTTTGTGTAAGTACAGTGCCGTTCTCATGACTACATCCTTGCACTGTATCTTAAAGCTGTATATCGTGATGCCTCCAGCTTTGTTCTTTTTGTTCAAGATTATTTTATCTACTGAGGTCTTTTGTGGTCCTATATGAATCTTTAGATTTGTTTCCATTTCTATGAAAAATGTTATTGGAATTTTGTTAAAGATTTTGTACTGAATCTTTAAATCATCTTTAAAACATCTTCTTTAAATCATTAGTTTGGCATTTTAATATTAATTGTTCCAATCTAGGAACACAGGACATGCTTCCATTTTTGTGTACTTTCTTCAGTTTCTTTCATCAGTACTTTGTAGATTTCAGTGTACTGGTAATTTGTTTCATTGGTTAAATTTATTCACAAATGTTTCTTTAAAAATTTTTATACCTATTACAAATGAGATTTTCTTGATTTCTTTTTTAGATAGTATTTTGTTAGTGCATTGGTGTGCTACTGATTTTTGTATATTGATTTCATAGTCTGTTGCCTTACTAAATTTGTTTAATTCTTACCAGGTTTTTTCTTGCTGTTGTTGCTTTCAAATCTTTAGTGGTTTCTATAAACAAGATCATACTCTTGCAAACAGGGACATTTTAACTTCTTTTTTTCCAATCTGAGTGTTAAGGATTCCATATTTAACTAGTTTTTTTATGAAGAAAAAGCAACCAACTGAATTTTTAAAATCACAAAAGTAAATTGACTTGAAACAGTTTATTTTCATTTTATGCCTTTTGTGTGTGTTTTAAATTCTGAATCCAACTCTAGAACAAATGCATCTGTACATCGTTAATATTAAAACAAAGCCCTGTGAGAAGTTGAAATATTCTTAAGGGAACAAATTGTTAGAGCCTCAAATTCTTTTTGGATGCAGAGAAAAACAAACAAAAACATATTTTACCTTAACATACAACTGTTTTTATACATATGTATTTATTTGATTGAAGGAGCAGGCCCTCCATTATTAGCCATAAGAGCCATTCTCCGAAGCATACAGGCAATCAAAATATTTGGAAATCTTGAAAGCCAAAGAAATAGTAGCTTTTGGTTTATTTACTGGAATGTGTCTTTCTAAATATATCCTTTATAAAACCAGCCCCCGGAGGCAATAAATTGAACCTCTGTAATTCCCCCATGAATGAGGAAAATAAGAATTGAATGATATTCAGCAGGAATGCCCAGAACATGGTGTTTGTCTCAAGATATAGGCTCAAAAAGGTTAAGTGTAAACAGGAAAATATAAACATAGCACCAGTACTCAGTGTATATACAGAGAAGTAAAAATTTCTTTGCAATGCCCTTATCATGCACTCAACTAGGCAATGGATTAGTCCAGAAAGCATACCTATGAGTTTGTCTCTCTTAGTCTTCCCTCTATTTATTATTATGCATCAGTGGTGGGGCTAACATATTGATGAGGCATTCAAGAAATTGATGGGTAGATTGTCACAAAAATGGAGCTGTTAGCACGTGGGCAAGTGTCAAGCAAGGAAAGATAGGTTCAAGACCCATGCTGCACAGCAGAAAGCCAAGGGACACCAACCCAGATTGACTTTCAAACCTCTACAGAACTCACTATTTTGACAAAAGTGCTTCCTTTCCCAATTTTTATGCTGAGAGATCAAAAACACATTTTTGTTAAGTAATTAGTATCACTCAGAAGGTCAAAATGGGGAGAAATTTGAGAAAATCAAGTGCAGTTATTAGAAAAACTCTCTTTGCGTTTTAAATTCTGTATCAAGGGCCATTGAAACGTAACTAATTATTCAAAGGGCTAAAACAGTACACATCCTGTCTAGGTAGCGGTATACTCCGTGTCAATTATTCAGTATGGGGCTTGCTCCAGAAATTCACCCGTGTCAGGTCATTTAAGATGTGGTTAGCAAATCCTTGCTTCCTTTGAATTATATAAAATATTTATGGTTTCCTGTCAGTGTTTGCCAACTTAAATTTAAATTTAAAACCCTATTCTTATGGAAATGAGTTATCATTTTAGGATCTTAGCTTTCTTGACCTTATTGTTTCTAGAGCAATTTGTATCACTCTTTCATAATTCCCTGCCACCATGGAGATAGAACAAGCCATGGTGTTTTGTGACTTCTCTCCTCCAGATCCTCCTTGGGTCCATGCATTCATCCCAATCCACGTAAATGCGAAATGGAGATAGGATGGTAGTTAGCTTATCCAGTCCTAGAATGACAAAAGTATGGTGTCTCCATTAATGCCATTGGGAAGGCAACAGAGCCACCTCCGTAGATCATCTGCTGTGTGCTAGTCGGTTTCCATGTGTACCCTCAAATTCTCCCAGGAACCTCGACAAGTGGACTCTCTCATGACTGTTTTGTAGAAGAGAAAACGGGAAGCATTTGTGTTCTATCAACTTTTCTAAGCCTGTCCAGGCAAGCTTTGAAATGAGGACGGACTCTGAAGATGGTCTTCTTCCTCCCTCAGCACTGTACCCTGCCACCGCACCACCTTGAGAGGCGCTACCCAGTTAAGGCATAGAAGGAGATGATGAAGTTCATGGCCCATTGTCTGAAAACACCAGGTCCCATCCCATTTTTAAACTGAGTCGCCTCAGTCTTCTTGGTCATTGAATGACCAAACTCAGTATTTGGTGCACCATCTAAAAAACCATAGAAAGCTAGATTTAAAAAGCAGAGGAAGGGAGAAAAGGAAAAAGAGAAATATTGCATCCAAGTACATAGTGGAAGCTCTTAAAGGGAAAAAAAGGAAGATAAGTTGGTCTTCCTGCAATATTTCTTGTCTGTTTTAAAGAGAAAGGGGGCAGTGTGGGGTGAAGAATAAATAGAGAACAGCCTTGTGGTGATCATGCGCAAAACAAAGCCAGGCAGAGGGGGTTGGAGGCGATTTCTCTATCTCCCTAGACATTCTCTGAGTGAGACTGCTTTGTTTGGTTTTCAGGCTAAGGTTGTCAAGTGAGAAGTATACGCTAATTTCATATTTTCTCCTCACTTTCTTTTGGGGATAAGTATTTTGGTTTTCCGCTGTTTATTATTTCAAAGACATCTATATGCTAATACATTTTATGCTAATTATGTTCATGTTTGCCCCGCAGGTTATGCTTCGCATCACCCACCAGGGAGGATCGTCTCTCCTGAAAACTTTCAAATTCGATTTTGAGAATTATTCAGAAAAAAGTCAAGCCGTGCTCTTTCCAGCGTAGGAAATCATATGCTCTGGAGGATCCTGTAATTCACAGAAAATGGACTAGGATAACCTTTGGGTTCTCATACTTACCAAATCCTGACAGCCAGGTACCCAAAACATTTAACACTGCAATGTGGAAATGTTGGCTGAATGACTGTAATAAAATCTACTAAGAGTTTTAGGAATCACCAAACTACTATGCTTGATCCAGAGATTAGAGAGAAAAGCTGTTTTCATTCTTCACACAGCATCTGAAGTATGTTAATTGCTTTTCCTGCCATAAATGCCATGTTCCAATCGTACGTCATCCTTTCTTAGCATTATTTCTAGAAAGTTAATTATAATAATATTAAAGTCTGAAACTGAGATTACACTTACGGGAAGAATCAGGCAAAATAGAAATCTCGTATAATAATCTAGCATGATGGTTTCTTGTAGCCTGTTTCCTACAGAGTTTTGTTTTTAATGAAATTATAATTTGTTTTGAGAGCAGATTATCACTTTAAAAAATAGAAGTTAGCTAATTAACCTGTCTTAAAAATATTTTTAGGCATCTTTTTCTGAACATAAATGGAGCTTAAGATCAACTCTTTGACATAAAGCAGTAAAATTTAGATGACCGTGGAGGGTATGCCGCACCTTTCCTGTCTTTGTGAATTGGACTCCTTTTGTTTTATCTCATAGATGTTAAGGGTCCATATCACACCGCTGTGTGTATCTCTCTCCCCTGCTCGGTGCTTAAGAAAAGCAAGATGCCAGACACACCAGGAAATCCATAAATGCAGTCTTAAGCTCATTTTGCACCATGCTCCTCTGCCTGTTCTCTCCACCTTTCAGTTGCTGCACCTAATTTCCTTTCTATTTGTTAAGTGCGTTCCCTGTTAGACCTCAACAGTGACATCAGCAAGAAAGAAGCGCTAGTTTTGGTACTGCTCCTACTAACTCACTCAAATGCCACTTGAGAGCTAGAACAGCTTTGTCAGGAGGAGAGTTTGCTTTCTTGGTTGTACAAAAGAGCTCCCCATGCCAAGGGGGCCTGACACAAAACTAGGCTGTCCCCCAAAAGAAAGCCATCAGAGGCAGCCTGCTTAAGACCAGTGAAAACAGGGTACCTGACATGTTCTGGGACTGCCAACCAGCATTTATGCTTATGGTCATAATCTCTCTATAAATAGGAAGAACCATGGCTAGGGTAAATTGGTTAGAATAAACTTTTGCCAAATGATGATAAAACCTTTTGTTGAAACCTGGTAATGTTTGGGAAAGTCTGTTGCAGTCAATGACCTGCAGTGTTTTATGTGCTAAACCTGTGACCCACCATTATTTTCTTTCTGTTGTACTATTTGCCTGTGATCACAAAATAGCTCCATATTTCCCTTTTAAAGTTGTGTTTGAAGAATGATTCACTGAGCTAATACATTTAGCCTTAATGCAGCCCTGGCTAAGAAGAAATTTTCCTGCTCATCTCTGAGCATAATTCAAAGTTAATTCAAATAGAAAAGCAATTTGTGTGCCATTAGGCACCAGAATTTATTAGGTGCTGGTGAGCCACACGAAGTATTGTCACCTTTGCAAGTTACATTCCACAAGGACAGGAAGGAGGCTTAAAAGCAACCATTAGTTGAGCTCTCCAAGGTTCCTGCAGTGTGTGGATGTTAGCAAACATTTGGTGGACACGGCTCAGTCTACACGAGCAGTGAGATCTGGATTTAACATGGCTCCAGAAATGCTGTGTGCTCAGAGAAGATTGGCACTTTTGGTTCTGGAATGCCCGTGATGCTTTAAAACCTTTAAAATAGTAAGAGCTAGAACTAGATAAGCCTGGTTTGAGTCCCAGCATCAACATCTACTGAATTTCTACCTACATTAATTTTTTTCATTCCCTGAGACTCTTTCTTCATGGATATCACTAGGATAAGAAGAAAAACCCTCATATTTACTTTATTTCCACTGAGTAAGAAGATTACATGAGCGATGTATTTGTATAATGCTGACTCATAGTAAATGCTCAACTAATGGTCACCACTTTTTATTATCATTGTTATTTTTAATAGTAATAATACCTTAAACATTGTTTTGATTGTTGGCATTCTTATTGATATTAATGGTTAGGCAAAAGGTGCACAATATTTCTTCATGGAGAATTTAGGTAGTACAAATCAAGAGATAGCATGTATTAAATACATTTCTGTCAATAAAAGAGAAAACTTAAAAAAAAATAAAGATGTGGGAGCCAGGTATGCTGATTCATGCCTGTAATCCCAGCAATCTGAGAGGCTGAGTCAAGAGGATCACAAGTTCAAGCCAGTCTAAAGATTTAGCACGAACTTGTCTCATAAGAAGAATAAATGAAAGAGTTTGTGCAAAGGTGTTGGATTCAATATCAAGTTCTAGAAAAAGATGAAAGGAAGATAGGTGAGACAGAGACAGAGAGAAAAGAGGGAAATCTCAAATTTTAAATGTGACCCATTGGAAGCCTAGACATCATCACAAAGTTTTATTTACAAATGTTTTTAAAATGCCTAATATGTTGCATAAGTTGAAAAATTTTTAAACACACTAAATTTCACTACTTGTACTTAAATAATATCAGCTATTCACATGATAAAGAAGAAGCAGGGTACTTTAACCCTGCCGGCCGGAAATCCAGAGGTGAGCTAATGAACTTGCTTTTCTGCTTTTCTTTCTGGTACCTGATGTTATGAAGAGCCAGCCTCTGATGGCTTCTTGTAGTGCTGGTAGTGGTGGCCAGTGGATCACAGAACAGTATGAAATCCCAGAGCACAGCACAGTGTGGAGCTGAGCAGAATGAAAAGGCATCTATGCTGGTTGTAAAGCCCTAAGTGAGCAGCCAGGATGTCCTCGTGGTCTCAGACCATCACACCAAAGCATGAAGCAAGTCTCAAGGCTTTAACAAAGGTTTGGCTTTGTTACTGACACAGAGAAGAGTAATAGGTTTGTGTCTGCCACTGAAACACCTGCTCACACCAAGAAAAGTCAGATGTGCACTGAAACTTTGCAGATCTGGAATGCATCATGCCATTCTGTGTTGAGAAGTCAGTTTTGACTTCTAATTTTACACCAGCAAAGACAGAGATTTGCTACCAAGAATTGTGATTGTGTGCAAAGCTCATTTAAAGTGAAAGGAGAATCTTTGGTTCTGCATTTGGAAAGACTCTAGTGTCAATACAGCTTTTAAATATAATGATGTCTTGAGAGTATATTTACATTTCATTTCGTTTTAATCCTTCTTTTGGATTTCTCTTTTTCATGGATCCAGCCTTTAAAGGAAATGCTGACAATCAATGAACATCCATACTCTAGTACACTTTATAGTATTTCATTTTAAACATTCACACATGCCTTCAAATGCAACATCACCTTTCCCAGAGTTTAGCGCACACATAGAAGAGAAATAGCAATTAAAAAGAAATAACCACACTGGAATTGTAGTGATGCTTTCCTAGATTTCATTTCCATTTTGTCAATCTTCCATGGGAAGCTGGTGTAATTTCACTTAAAATGGGCAAGATTTGGCATGGTTCACAGTCACAAGTGAGAGAACAAAATACGGGAGATTTTCATTTATAAGATTGCCTTTCTCTTATCTATGGGTCTTGTCTCCTGAACTGTCTGTCTGTCTCTAGAAAGCAAAGTCAATAAAAATGATTAGAGTTGGCATCTCGCGAATGTACACCCTTAAACCATGAAGCAGTAATGCTGTGCAGGAAATATTTTTTCTGACCTTTTCAAATTGCATCCAACTGTCTTGGGAGTTTCTCAGGGACTGGAGGTAATAAGGTTCAATCCGTTTTACTGTCTGGCTTCAAATTTAGTTCCTCCACAGCTCTAACTTATCTATTCTTTGCATCTTGGCCCTGGCATCCTTTCAGCACAGAAATCCATGCATCTCATCTTTTCCCCTTCTTGGGTTTTTGCTAAAAGATCACACCGTGGAATCTACAACCATGACGACTTTTCACTTACTGCCCCTTTCAAACATAATATATTAGCACAAGAAGATTAGCGAGTGAGCTGTCCTTTGAGAAGCCCTCGTTGAATTTAATTAGCTTCTAGATTTCCTCATATCTTACATCTCAGTTTTTACCTATGTGATTTATGCCTCAGTGACCTTCATTATACAAAATTTTTCAACTTAACTATACTGTGGGTGCTCTAAAAACATGAGACAAAAATATGCAAATTTCTTTTGTTCTCTGGTTTTTCTTCTGTGGATCCAAACACCAGGGACATACTTGCCGGTGAGGAAGGGAGTCACCCGAGTGTGACATGCTAAAGGGATGCTGAGTGGCTTCATTTTTCACTGTGTTCCTTGAAGGAGAACAGAAAACAGAAGCTAGGGACACATTGCCTGACCCCATGAAAGCACTGCTTGTCAGGAAGCCTTGATAAGGAGGTAGAAAGCTTGTCTTACTTTTCATAGCCAGAGCATCTGTGTGCTGAATGTGACTCCTGGTGTTTCCTTATTTGTAGGACACACCACATTCAATGGCATCTTCTGTTTTGTTGCCCCTGTCCATCGCCTCTGTCCCGCCTTCTGCAGGGATTAGAATCTTGGCTGGAATTTTCTGTGGTCAGTGGAGCTTGGAGCCTCTTTCTGGCTTGGCAGGCATGTTCACCAGCAGGTGGCCATGAGTGGGAAAATGTCTTTTTAAAATTGCCCTTTTGAGAAACTGTATTTCTTTGTATACCAATTTCTTGAGTTTGATCATTTATACTTGGCTTGCTAAAAATGAAATCATTTTGAACAATCCAATTTAGGAAGTAGAATCGGAGGACAAGGGAGGATGAACCAACTATTTTTTTAAAAATCCGAAAGAGTGTGTTTTGTTCTTTTAAAGAACAGGGCACACTTAGGCTAAGGTTCCTCTTCATCATGTAGCTTCTGTTTTCTATTTAAAATAGTTTATAAGTACGGCATTACAGGGAAATCAGGAGAGTACATTTATAAGTGAGCAACTATATTTGTCCTTTGAAATATGATTTGTCTTAATAATCAGTCACAGTCCTGATGCCATCCTTTTAAGATTTGGGAATAGTGAGCTGGCATTTTCCTTAGCAAAGATGAAGTATTTTGGCAGTTTTGCAAATTCTAACTCATCCAATGTTTGTAAGGAGCTTAGTGTTTTTATCATCACCATCTGGGAAAGAGAGACTGGTAATTAAAGCAGGTTGGCTTCTTGGGTGGAGCACAGCACATCTGAGAGTGGCTAGTGGAGGTGTATGTGTCTGCACATGTGTGTGCAGGCAGGCGTGAGACTTGTGTGCCAACCTGCACTGCAGGTGAAGAAGCAGCAGCTCCCAAAGCAAATGGATCCCATTTTCTTCTGTGGATGTCATCTCTTAATACATCGGGAACTTGACTCTACCTTGTGACTCTTTCAGCACGTAATCATAACACACGTAGGGTCCCCTTTTATCATTTGTAAGATTAATCATATTTCTTACCCTTCAGGACCCAAAGGCAAAGCAAAGTCAACCTTTGGACTCTCCATGGAAAGCAAAAAGTGATTGGAAGCTGGCGGGAGCATGGAATGAGGCAGGGTTGGGATTGGTTTGGACTGCATGTTTTCCTTTGTGGCGTGTTCTCAGCATCGCCAGGGATTTTCAGGTAGAGAAAGAGAAAGGGAATAAGGTGCCTAAAGTTCTAGGGACAGCACCAGCTGCTTCTGCTTATATCCCAACCATTGGCAGAGTATCGCCTAGGTAACTCATGGAACCTCACTTAATCCTTACAGGAGACCAGGAAGACAGGGACAACTACCCTTGATCTAAAAGGGGCAAACATGAGGCTCAGAGACCTTAAAAACTGAATCTACTTTGAAGTGGCAGGAGGATTATGTGAAGAGAGTTATTTTTATTTGTGTGGAAAGGAGCAAAATCCTTTGTTCTCAGTAGCAATTTGGCTTTCTCTCCTGCTCTTTCTTCTCTTCCTTCATCACCTCCTGCTCCTTTTTCTTACTTTGTTTCTACTTCTTTTTTTCTTGTCCCAAAGAGAGAACAAGGTCAGCAACCTGAGAGAAAGACTGAGTCCTCTAAAGCAGCACAGCCATTTTTTTCTTCTTGGTTATACTTAATTGCATTGTTTCAAAAGTTTAACGAAGGCTGAAGGTTCTCATTGGTGACTTATATTATCAACATACATTTTACTGAAATAATAATACAGGTGGCAGATGATGGCATTATACTTTGTCCTCACAAGTTCACACTGAACCCTGTCTGTCTTTTGTCTGTGTTAATGAATACCCAAGGTCAAAAGGAGGAAACAACAGATTGAGGAAAGCAGCTATTCAAAGATATTTTTGTAGATAATCTTGTAAGAATCTATTTTAGCCAAGTATGGTGTCATGTGCCTCTAATTCCAGTAGTCTGGGAAGCTGAGACAGAAAGATCACAACTTGGTGCCCAGTCTGAGCAATTTAGTGACTTGGTGAGATTGTCTCAAAAATAAAATAATTATTAAAGAAAAAAAAAAGGCTGGGAATGTAGCTCAGTATAGAGGTCCTTGTGAATCCTCAGTGTCACCTAAAAATTTGTTTCTGTATCAGGACATCTATGAAATGAAATTCCTTCTAATATATGTGAGATTTTTTCCCCTTCTCTTTGCCTCAATATCTCTGTTACAAAAATACATTCTTGATTGCCCAAACAGGCTTGTTACTGTGATGTCAGCTCAATGGAGAGAACATGGGAAGGGATTCAGTTTCACTCTTCTGTTGATGCTTAACACACTGCATCTTGTGCTGAGGGAAGGGACTCAGTTATTTATTTGGGGTGAACCAGGCTTCTCAGGTTGCCACCACATCCCTGGTGCTCCTGATACCCCGCCTGATACCCCGCCTGGCAGTACATCATTTGTTCCCAGGCATATCAGAAAACAGGATATTGATTCAAATCTAAGCAGAGGGGTCCAATCTCAAAAGCTGTCACCACTATTCACTGCAACACACTCTTCCTAGAGTGTGTGCTCTGGAAATTCAGTCAACATCGCTCTGTGAAAAACATCCTCCCCGTCCTGGTAACAACTCCAGACAGAACTCCACAGAAAATGCAGCGAGGCTCAGAGCTCTGGAATATGCAGGCATTCTCACTCAGTTCAGGGTTCAGGAAAGACTGTGCTGTACAAGGGTCTCTGATTCTCACTATTGCCCTGATTGAAACCAAACTCAGAGTCATATAAACAGACAACCATAAATCATTCTGAAACTGCCCACCCCACACAGCTACTCTTTAGCAATTTGCTTTCTGTTGCTGCCAAAGGAAGGGAAACGACAGTGTAGATTTTCAATCGTGATTTCAGGAGCGAGCACCTGCCTGTGTGCCGCGAGGTACTGGCAGTCTCTGCTCCCTGTCAGGGCTGCAGAAGTATTTATTTTTCCTTAATTGGCACCCCACTGACACCCTGTGGGACTACACCCCTGGCAAAGGCAATACATCCATATAGGACTACAGCACAACCATCATGGTCGGTGGTTTGTAATATTATAGTCAGGAATACCAACACTGGGATGAAAATTAAACCAACACCCAGGATAACGGGGTGTTCAGATGCGCCTTCTGTGTTATTACCGCTCACCATCTTTCTCAGTGCTTACCTTCGGTATTAACGCAACATTCGCAGAAGCTTAACCCGAATACACTTGGTCAAAGTGTTGCCTTTTCTGTTTTGGTCCTTCATTTCTCTGCCTCAAGAAGTCTTAGAATGACTGATATAATTGCTAGTAAATCATAAACACAAGTTCTGGACACTATAGAAAATAACATGCAGTTTTTCTGGATCAGCCAATATAATAAAATCCCCCCAAAGCCTTAATTTTATTAAAATGAAATTACCCAAGTAGGTCCTGTGTGTTGTAACTTTGGGTGTCAAAGCAAGAACTTTGCTTCCTTGTGTGTCGGAGGGCCACTTCATTGTCCTCATGCGTGGCTTCAGCATTTGCATTCACTGTCCCCTCATTCTATTTTTGTTTTTGTCATTGAAGTTCATGAAGACTTAATCATTAGCCCTCTAATTTTCTAGGGGAAAAAATGTTGATTTATTGAACTGGCTGCAGAGAAAGAAGAAGATCAATCTGACATTGAAGGGTAATAGTAGGGAACAAAACACATTCATAATTAGAAGAGAAAAGGACTTTCCTTGTTCCTTCCAGTTTATAATAAAAAGCCCCTCGCCAAAGTGTCTTAGAAAATAATGCATTCAGACTGAGTTGAATTACCGCCTAGCAGATTCTATTTATCTGTAGCTTAAAAAGCAGCTGCGTTTTGTGAAAAGCAATGAATGTGGCAGTCCTACTTAAAGGTGGAAGAAAAAGAACACCCCTTGTTTTGTAATAAGGGGATTTTCAATTTAAAAGAGAGAGTGAGCCTGTTGTGTGAAGTAGGGTTATTACATTCACTGTATTCTATCTCACCCACCAGGAGGCTAATAATGAAGGGGCCGGGGAAGGAGGCCAATGGTACAGGGGTTATCTCCCAACCTCAGATGCCGGATAAGTCAGGGGGTGCAGAACCGCTTCTGGATGACATTCAGAAACGCTGGAGTGATTATTTGGAAGAGAAAAGCCTACCTATTCTTCCCAAGGTAAACAGTTCATTTCATCTGCCAACAGCCTGTTTCAGTATAATCATGCATTTGTCTAAAGATATCTATAAAGTTTGCCTTTTGAAAAAATCATTTTAGGTGCATGAATATTCCCCCCGACCTGCCTGTCTGTCCAATGGTCCAATGATGAATTATTAGGAAGCTGCCCTAGACAAAGGATGCACTTGGATCCCCACCACACCTATAACCACGCTTTGAAGGATCTGCCAAGCTCACTTTTAATCATGAGAAAGAAATTACCCACATGGAGACAGCAGAAAATGAGAAAGTAGAGCTCGTGCTGCGAATAATTCCAGTGAGTGCCAAGGGGCTAGTTGAGGAATGGCTTCATGAGGTGAATACCTTTAGTTTGTACTTAGGGTTTGCTTAGCCATATAATCATTTTCTCTTTTAGGAGCGATGACTATCCTGAGTGTATTTCCTAACCAAAGAGTACCAGGGCATTTGTCAGAATGTTAATAATTTTAATATCAGTTTTGCCCTTGTTATTGACAATGATTCATTTGCCGTTTGCAAATATGCACAAATCGGTTTGGGTGGAGAAGCAAAGTCTCTGAATCTGTGACAGTTGCTAAGCTGTCTGTGCTTGTGTGCTTTGCTGTGAGTGCTGTCTAGTAATTGATGTCTGTGTGTGTGCATGCGTGTGCATGTGTGTGTCCTTGTTCTTGTCTCCTCTCTGTTGTAAAGGTAGGTTGGGGAGTAGCCAACCCATGGATGCTCAGATGCAATCCAAAGCTTTCATTTGATTTTTGGAACAGAAGGGAAGGAAAAGAGAGAGAGAGAGAGACAGAGAGAGAACACATCACATCATGATTAATGGTTGATCTGAATTTTTAATTCATAGGAAAGGAGGAAGGGCAGGGTTTATGATTCAAGTGACAAGGCTAACCTTTTCCCTGTGGGACAAGCACGATTCAAATTAAACATCACTTTCAGTGTGAAATTAGTTTGAACCACCGCCCCCCACCCTTATTTGGTGACTGATTTAACTCCTTGATGGTTGCTCTTTCAAAAACAGTCCCTGCTGTCACAATTTCTGCTGGAGTTTATTCCCAGAAGTCCATAGTCCCTTTTCCTTTGTTTTTCTAAAGATCAGATCTAGGAAAATAATGTTCTTCTATTTTAAATGCTTCAGTACTCATTACTCACAGATAAGATTCTCCCTAAAACATGATCTCTTTGTGTCCCAAACAAATGTAAGTAAATAAATAATTTTCCTCTGTTTTCAAGGCTAGTTTTGCCAGGTGGGAAACGGCAAACAAGGGATGTGTCTGGAGTCTCTAGATTCCCACATAACTGAGTCACAGGATCACCATGCCAACCTTTAGCAATTTGGGCTACAAGCAAAGCATGTGCCTGGACTCTTTCAAAGTACCCTTCAGTTCTGGTCCAAAGGACTCAGGCCTAAGCTTGTCGAAAGAACACACTGTCCAGGAAAATGTGCCACTGCTTTGTACACATACTTGATGCCACAGTTCAGTACCGTCAGGGTCGAGAAGGGATTGATTCTTTCTGGAGTTTGTTGGCATGGGGGGGAAGGGCAAGTATGGAAATGGCTAAGAAACAGAGTTATTCTTCCCGTGTATTTGCAAAGGGACAATGCCAGGGCCCTTGAATACCTTCTCTAAGGACAGAAGAGGTGTGGTAGGGGAGGGGAGGCAGCTGGGGGAGGGTTGGGCTGGGAGAGGAGCCAGCTGGGGTGGAGCCAGGCAGGGAGGTAGCCAGCTGGGGGTAGAGGTTGAGGTGGAGTGGGACAGGAAAAGGTGGAGGCAGATGAGCAGCTGTGTTTATTTTAATACATATCATTTAACCCTCACCTAAAAACAAATTGGAGAGGTTTGGGAGTGCATTAATCTGGACCCAATTAGCATGCCTTGATCCTTCAAAAGTGCAACCTGAAATTAATGAATATAAACTAGAGTTTCAGATGCAGTGCTTAAATCATTTGCATGCTTCATGCATGATAATTGAATTCATGTATGCACTTCCTTCCATTTAACTATTTCCAGTCTCCTTGTGATTCACACAAACCAAGATTTCATTATAGTAATCTCTAGGTGGACTTAGCTTGCCCAGGGTTTACTCCTGTGGAGAAATTCACATCGGTGGGCCTTTTTTCAAATCTGAATTTTTATTTTTTGGAAGTAGGGGGCAGTAGTTCTTAGTCTGGAATGGTGTTTTAGGAGTTGGTAAATAAGCACTTCAACTTTATTTTTGAAAAGTCAGAAAACCCAGGAGAACTATGTCATTGAGTTTTTAGTGGTCCTAGAGAGCTGCTTCCCGTGTATCCACTTTTAAGTGTCTCGATAAAACCAAGAGCAAGGTCACTTGCGTGTAGCGCCTGGAATTTGGACCAGAGTTACCGAGATCACCGAGAGATTCCACTGCACATGTCTGTTTCCGGAAGTGGTAGATACTTGTTTCCATGGAGGGGGTGGGGGTGATGCCAGCTTCTATGAAAGGCACTAGATGAGCAGTTACGGGCCCTTGGGATGCTGTAGATTTTTATCTTCTTTTCTTTTTTGTCATTTATGTGTAAAAGGCTTTATACTTCCATAGTGCAAGCAGGTTCTAGGGTCACCTCTCTGCCCCTGCCCCAAGGTGAAAAGTCTAAAAGTGAACAGTGGGTATACAAGAAAGCTTCTTGGGAGAGACGTTGCAGCAAGATGCTTGAAATGATTTAGTTTGTACCAGTGATTTGTCTGTCTTCTGTCTTTCCTTGTGTGTTTCCAAGTTCAATGTCAAAGTGAAGAGCTTTTCTCCAGGAATTCTCCCGTGTCACTTGTTTTTGGTGAATTCAATGGTTGAATGTTGCTGAGTGTCTCCCGGTCTTGTTTCCTGGTCCTCGTAGCTGAGAATGTCACTGAAGGAAAAATCTTGTTAATTTGTGATGTCACAATTTAAGTGTGCTTCCTGTCACTTATGCGTAGTTTAAAACGTTCCTTAATGTAGCATGAAATGATTGGCTAGCTTTGAAATGGTTGTGAAGTCATGTGAAGAAAATAAGTTGCATCCGACCAAGATAAATTCACTCTAGTGCTTTATGGCTTTTTATTCCTATGTGATAGTAATAAAGTCTCATGTAGGGATGGAAGCCATGAAATACATTGTGAAAAATCATCAACTCAGAAGGGGCCATCAGTATAGAAAACATTAGCCTGTGGCGCTGTGCATGTGACTGAGAAATTACTTAGTGTGTAGCCCTACTGTGTGCTTGGTGTTCCTTGAGTTTCTTTATCCTTAGATTTGGACAGCTAAGGAATCTAGGTAACCAGAGCCGACTCATTTCCGTAATCATTGATTAACATGCACATTCTAGTTTGCACATTTCTGTTGATCATACATTTTTCCTGTTTTCTACTAACGACCATACTCTAGGGGGACTTTCATAGCCCAGGATTTGGGTAGGCAGCATTCAATCCTTCTCTGCCTTTTTCCGTCAACCGTTGAGGTCTTTCTTCTGAAACAGAGAAGAAATACACAAATCAGACTTGTCCTCTTGGAAATGTGGTCCAGATTTCTCTACTCCCAAGCTCCAAAAACAAGGTATCCATTGCATGGATTAGAACAACACCTTCTGAGGTTCATAAGCTCATCAAGAGTCCTTTTGCATCTAAAGATGTGGGAGAGTGGACAGACATCTGGTGTTAGAGGAAAGAAGGAGCTTGGATGGAGTTGGAGTCTAATGCCTCTGCCTCTTCAGCTATGGGCCTGGGGGCAAGTGATTGAAACTTTCTGGGCTTCTTCTTCTACCTCTGAAATGGGAGAAAGCAAGGGTACCCTGGGAGGTAGTTGTGAGGATTAAATGAAGTAATGAGTGTGTGCCTAACAAAGTATTTAATGTTATCTTTTAAAAACTCATGAAATATTAGTTTTTTTCCTTCCTTCCCTTCTCTCTCTCCCTCCTGTTTCCTCCCCATCCTTCAGATATTAGTCTAAAACAGCACCTTTGGATCAAAGCAACACCTTTGAGAAGGAAAAGCCTCCTTCAGGAATGTCTGGTTACACCTCCTTCAATATGGGGCTTAAATGCCTGGGTTGGACCAATAGTTTAACTTTGTTGAACTCAAACTACTTAATGTTGGCTTTTGGCATATTTTCATTTTTACTGTTTCTGTATATTTATTCTCCCTTGAGCTGTTTTAATATTGACTACTGACCTATACTCACTTTTACTGATTTTCTGTACTTGTTTGAAAGAGCGAATTTTAATAAAAATTATTTGTGTTATCTTTTGCCTCTCTATTTCCTCCACACCATGAGATTTTATCCTGGTCCTCCAAGCTATCTAGACCATCTGCCCTAAAAGGACAAATCTTTCTTTTTGCTTAGAAACTGCTCACTCATGGCACAAAGAGAACGGTATCAGCCCGCCTCCCTACATTTAATTTGCATATAAGTGTGTTCTGGGAAATTGTCAAGTTAGTTATAATTTTGCTATTCATTTGTATTTTAAATATGAAATTTGGCAGTGTCACTAAAGGTTTTGCACCAATTGTTGATAAGGCAGAGGACTTCTTAAGTATACAAATACTGAAAATTTTTAAAATTGCAGCATAATGTAAGTGCATATTAAAACAAAGACTGCTATGGACTTCAGTGACATCACATTTGCAGCCAAAGTTCTTTTATTATAATTGCATTTGTCTTTTAAATCTTTTATTTACTGCTAAGTCTCTAATTCCTAGCAGTGTCCCTGGTATTCAGGAGATATTCAAATATATGCAAAACATGAGTGAGAAAATAAGAGGAGGAAAATGGGGGAGGAGTGAAAGAAGGGAGAACAAAGGAATAAGACAGTAACTATGTCACCACAGGAAGTATATGTTATATTTAGGGAAGCAGGGCAAATGCAAACCCACTGTAAAAATATGCAGAGTTTAAATTGGCTGTAGACAGTACGAGGTCATTTAAGAGAAAATGTGCATGAATGACAGGCAAAATCTTTAGGGATCTACAGAAGAGAATGTTCCCTAGAATCAGGTAACTTTCCCTATCAGAATATAACACATCAGCCAAATGTCCACGGATAAGAGTTAAAGATTTGAAAATTAATTTGTCAAGAAATTCATGAAAAGCTTCAGTAAGTGGTACTTGGAAAATTTTCAGCCAAAGAGCTATTCTACTCTGGAGAATATATTTACTTACAAATATTTTTACAAGTACAAATAAAAACAGAGAGTAGGTTTTAATGGATACACTTTCTTGGATTAATTAATTACTGCTGAGTCTCGGCAAGCTGCAATTAGCTATTACTCATGTGACATAGGATGTGTCTAAATGCCCAGCCAGCTCATAATTTCAAAGATGGCCATAAATTTGCTCTGTTTTCTCTCCTTTTACTCTGCTGGGTTGCCCTTAACTTCCGAGAGTTGGTGTAACACTTGAGGTAATTTATGGGAAAGTGGTTATTTTCAAGAAGGGCTCAGCATGTCTCAATAGATATTAACCTTTATTAGGGTTATGGGCTAGCAATAACCCTCACAAAGTTCTCTTAGAAACTGGTGCAATGAACAGCCATCTCACTCAGCAAGGGAAGGAGTCAGTCTCTCCATCCTGCCAGTAGACTTTGGTAAGCAGGAAACATACACATTAAGAAAGAATGAAGTATTCCATACCATGCCCTTATCAGAAATCTCTCGAGTTCCACCAGCAACCTTGTATTAGTCAATGGGGGAATAGTAGCTATGGGATCTAACTTTGGGCTGCATAAGAAAAATCACACATTGTCTAATGTATTCATATTCCATAAAGGAGCTGTAATTGTGATGCCTCCCAAAGAAATGAAATAGAGATCAAAATTCTCTCATTCACTGAGTAACACTGTAAACTTTGAATCCATGATTCAATGAGCCAAACCTGTTCTTTTTAGTTACAATTGGCCTTCACCAAGTGGGTACCTACAGGTAGGCACCAGAGGGATCCACACAGGAGAGCAGAGCCAAGACATTCTTTGTATCAAGTGACGTGACCGCAGGTCTTATATTTCAGGTTTTCTATCCTGCTAGACCAATTATTAGAATCAGACCTTCCAAGGAGAGCCACTGGCAAGAAGGCTGCCACAGACTCTATTCTTATAGGTTAGATTATCCTGGGAATTTAAATACAAATAGCAAAAGGGTGGGGTGGGATGAGGTTCGAGACTATTTCTCACCATTCTACTGGATGGTGCTTCTCCTCACACCTTCCATAAAGGAGACGTCTAGACCTTGGACAGCCCGGAGATGGAGGCCAATCACAGAAGGCCCCTTCACTTTCTCTTTACCTTTCATCCTTGTCACAAAGAATGCAAAGTAAATTGGTTGAATTAAGGTAATAATATTATTCTCATGGTTCACTGTCTCATTCCAATAATGTCTTCCCTTCACATATTTAGGCACTGCTGATAAACACATATAATCTCCCACTTCTCTGTAAAGAAATACATTAATGAGCAACAACAAAAACAAAGAAACAAAAACCACTTTCTCCCAGGAAATTAAAAAAGTATCTCAGGAATAATTATTAGCAACTCATTGATAGTCCAAAATTAGGCTATACAATGAAGGCTCAATAAATATTGATGAAATAATTGCTTCCTTCATGCAAAGCCCTCATAGGACCTACAAGAGACTATCTACTCCAGCCTCACTGATTTTGGGTTATTCCAGGACTACACCAAATGGCTTTCTTATTCAAAGCTTTTAAAATTGCTCTTCCCTCTACCTAGAACATACTCTTCTTAGATGGCAACCTCTCTCATTCTCTCATTCATCATATCTCTGCTCAAATATCTTGTATCAGTAAGATCTGCCCTCATATCCTCTGTTTAATCGTGGCTCCTTCTCCGGACTCCCATCATCTTACCCTGATTGGTTTTTCTCCATGGATGCTTAGTGGTTTTCACCATCTGTTAAATGACACATTTACCTGCTTGTTTGTATTGCCTTGAAGAACTGTCCTACCTCACAAGCTCCAGGAAGTCAGGACGTCAATCTGCTTCTTTTGTTAATTTTGTCCCTGGTGGCTGGGATTGTGTGTGTACATAGTACACATTCAAATATTTGTTGAATGAAATTATTTCTTGTCTGACACTTTCTGGCGTTCATGTATCAAGATACTGATATTACATATCGTTATAACAAGGAATCCCTTATATTCCTCACTAGATGAATGAGCCATTACTTCACCCTTATTTCAGTGTTAGACATATAGCTTTGTTTTTTCTAGCTTCTCCTTTATATAAAAAATTGTTCAATACATCTTTTGACTATCAATTACCATCTCTATTCTTCAGACTAAATTCCTAGCAGTAGAGTAACTGAATCCAAAGTTATGGCTTCTCATACATATATAACCAAATTACTTCCCAGGCATGTTATACCAATCCATACTCCTAGCCAAAGATAAAGGCTAGAATATTCTTTGTGTGACTTTTTAAAAATTAGTGTTAATGCTGGTTTCTAAAAAATTAACCAGCTTTTCTTGCTGTCTTCATTCATTTGCTTTTTCTTTCTGGGAGAGTTGTCAGTTTGTGGTGTTTTCATTTGATTTTTTATTTTGAACCTAGATATCTAGGATAAAAGATTTCTTTTATTTAAGAAATGGAAGAAAGATTATGATTTGTTTTCTAATGTGTTTGGTCTACACATGAGGGAATATAGGATGAAACCATTCTACTGGTTGCTAATAGGAGCCCAAGTTTGGACTCCTTTAGGTCAGCACCACAAAATATGTGAAAACCACAAATCAGCAAGGAGAAATCTGAGTAAAACATGCTGCTCCTTAATCACCACTGTGTAGACAGATATTCATTATTAAAGTGTAAGTGAAAGTGTCCACGGAATAATCTCTTGATGTTGAGAGAATAGATATATTAATAACGTATAGGACATAACTTCCAAGTTGTAATACTGGTTCTTTTGACCACGTTAATTTATTCTACAATCTTTTGTTTGTCTCTTACACAATCAGGTCCTTCACATTTTTCTACTTTCTGAATTTCATAAAATTATAAGGCAACCAAAAAATTAGTAATGTTTGTTGCATTTTCAATACAAATAAAACTACTAGCTCATCTCCTCACTAAAGAAAGAGATTTTGTGCTTTTTAGAGCCAACATCAAATTATAATTTGAAGACTTTGTAGGAATGTTTTGGTTTGGTTTGGTTTGGCTTTATTTGGTTTTGGTCACACGAGTGATGGAACTCTAACCCTCATACCGTGCAGGGCAAGTGTTCTCGCATTGAGTTATATCCTCAGCCTGGGAATGACTGTTCAAATCAGAATGTATATTCACATACACCATTGAAGACATATCAACATTGATCTTAACTGATAAATACATATAATCTCCCACTTCTCTGTAAAGAAATACACTAATAAGAAATTCAAAAATAAATTTTGCTCTTCCTCTATTAGTTTGAAATATTTAAAACTGATACTATTTTTTCTCTTCATTTTCACATCTTAAGATTTCTTTTTACATAAGATATTCTTACCTTACTTATAAGTTGAGTTATTATAAGAACGTAGTAACTGAAGGTCAAATGGTGGTTAACAACCTTGGTAAACAAAAATAATTAACAGAGCTCTTTATTGTCAGACAGATTTTGAGGGCTGAATCATGTGATAGCTTAAATAGGGCACTGATTTCTGATTTAAATAAACATTAGTATGTGAATCTATGTCTTTACATTTACAGTAAGTAAATGTAGGTGGTCTGAAATTCCAAATTAAGAAGAATACAGTATGATTTTTTGATAGCATTTAAAGACAGAGTAAGAACCCAGGTAAAACAAATGAGTCAAACTGACAAGAGACCAAAGGAAACCACACCAAATGATTCAGTGGTTGCTCAGGGTGATCATATACACAGATGTGTATGTGCAGGCGAACCCATTTGTTTTGGGGCTTCACCATTACTTTAAATTTAAGGGCAGAAAGGCATGAGGCTTACCTGAAATAAATGAAGATTTATGCAAACACTGCATATGATTTGGAGAAATTTTTTCACTTTAAATACCTCTTTTGGATTTTATAGTCTATTTTTATGCACACATTTCTTTAGTTCTATCAAGTCCAAATGTTTAAAGCTACTTGGACTCCCAATATCTTTCAGCATTTAAGTTTAGAAAGTACACTTCTCTTAAGATATTGATGGCCTCACCACTACCCCCTACAGCTCCAGTGATTCCCTTCAAGGTGCAAAGAAACTAAAAAAACAGTAATCTCCCAACAGCCTCTTAGAAGCTGTATTAGTTGGCTTTTGCAATACTGGGACACAATATGCAATACCACTACTTAAATAAAAGATTTGATTTGGCTCACAGTTCAGGGGATTCAGTCCATAAATGGCTGGCTCCAAGACAGAAATATCATGGTGGAAGGGCATGATGGAAAAGAGTTACTCACCTCATTTTATCCAAGAAGCAGAGAGAAGGGAGAAATTGGGAAGAGAGATATACCCTCCACAGGCATGGACTCAGTGACACATCTCTTGCAACCAGGCTCTACCTCCTGATAACACACTGAGCTATGAACTCATCAATGGGCCAATCCACTGATGAAGGTAGTGCCCCCATGATCCAATCACCTTCCAGATGTCCAACCTCTGAATATATCTGAGAGATTTCCCATATCTAAACCATAACAAGAGCCGTGTCAGTAACATTGTCTCAATAACATCTCTGGAAGACTAATCTCCTTGTTTTTTTTACCTGTTTGTTTAAATATTTGGAAAGTGAGCCTCCAAGAGAGTATGTGTGATTTCCAGCTCCTTTTGCCAGTATTTTTGTCATATCTTCGATATTGGTCCTCAAACTGAAGCCATGATTCATTCTTTATGTCTGTTACCAAGGTATTATTTCTCAGTTGCAATTCTGCCATTTCGCTTCATGATAAGACACAAGGAACCTTTTGCCTTCTTCCCAGAGACTTGGACCAGAGACTCATGCCCCACCCTACCTGTCCATATGCATGAACCTTTCCTTGTGTCTTGTAGTAATTAAGGCAGCCCAGAAAGGGAAAGTCATGAAACCCCTTTTGATTGTACTGCTTCTTTCGGTCCCTTGTCTACTTTTTCCATAATTCTTGCTGAGCATCACAATGGTAATAGAAAAGACAGGGGAGCCCTGTTACGGCAAAGCATTCTCTAAGTACTGCTCAGTAGGTTTCTAGCCTCCCAAGAAGGCATCAAATTGTCCAGGGTCACTGACTCTACTGGGGAGGATTTTTACTTTTCTATCTCCTTCATAACCAATGCAGTTGAGGAGGGCCCCGTCCTAAAGCTATGAGGGCAAGCCTGCGGCTTCCCAAATACATATGAAAGAAGTAAGTGGAGCAAAGCAATTCACCCATCATTTTGCATCTCATGGAAACCTTTGCTGGAGGAGCAGAGAGCACAGTGCACAATGGCGACTGGTGCACGGGGATGGTAGAATTACAGCAAAAGGGCCCAACTCTACCCCTGATTATATGTGTGGCCACAAGAAGGTCACTTACTTCCAAAAAGCCCAAGTTACCCGTCTGTAATCCAGGAATGATTTCCATCCTTCCCATGTCCGGTTGATTGAGGCTCAGTTCAAGATATTCATGAGTAGGAATGCTTTGATGGATTACCGCACTATGGAGCAATAACCTGAACAGAGTTGTTGGATTGGAAATTGAAACCACAAGGGAAAAAATGCCATTTCAGTTGAAATGTAGTGTAAAAGTTCCCAGGGCAGGAATGGAGACAATGGCAGGAATGAGACAGGCCAAGTCCCCGAAGGATTAATGATGTGGGGACACAGCCTGAATGGGAAGTAGAGGTGAAATAAGCAATGTGAAAGCACAGCGGGCTTAGTGGGGAGATATAGAAGCTCACTCAGTACGTATGATAAGGGTTCCTGAAGAAGTGACATTTGACTCTGCTTGGACAGGCAGAAGGCCACAACGTCCTCCATGTCACACAGCTGATATTCATTCACTCCCTAATTTCCACACCTTAGAGCGGGATTCAGGGAGCTCCTTGTGTTGAAATACAGGTGCAAAGATAAAATTGACAGGCTTTCTAGTAAGGTGATAACTTTTCACAAAGCACTTGCCATTCTAGTCCTGGCTAGCTGAGCAGGACTCGTGGATCTTGGATCTTGTTGGATGTGTGTCTCCATTTCTCCTGATTGGCATAAACACAAAAGCCAGAGCTGCAAGTCCTTTAGGAGAGAAAAATGTATTTCCTACGATAATGTGCAAGCCAAGGGTCTCCCTTAAAGGTTAGGGACAAGTCAACCCCAAAGCAATTCAGCTACTGTCCTAAATCTCTAGCTACTTTCCTAAACAAGTCTCTCCCTTCCTCACAGACAAAGCTTCTTCAGATCCTTGTTTTTGTGTGTGACCTTAGACAGAGTTATTTAGCCTCTCTATTCAGGAAAGGGAAGCCACAGTTGTTTCTTTAAAAAATTGATGTAAAGATTAAATGAGGTCTCACTTAAAATAGTGCCTAGAACATGGTGCCTATTACCTAAGTGTAAGCTGATATTATTATGGTTATAATCATCATTCTAATTTTCTTACCTCCTGCTTGCTCTCAGTTCACTCCGGCTTGTCTTATAGCCCATGACTCATATCTGTAAATAGCTCTTGATAAGGTCACCAATAACCTTTAGCTAAATCTAATGAGCTTTTAAAATTTTCATCTCACTATCTTCTCCATAGCAATCTATCTTGTTGATCAGTGACATATATATTTTTTGCGCTCTCTCTCTCTGTTTCTCTGTGTCATTCTGACCTCTGTGACATAAATTTTTTTTCTTTATCTGCCTATCTACAGACCTATTTATATTACAGAATTTTCTGCCTTTGTCCAGATATTTAAACTGAAGTTACTCCAGCTTCTGAGTCTTATCCTGGGCCCACATTTTTTTCTTCTCTTCTCCCCTAAACTCTCCTCCAATCTCATGGTTTCCATGACTTCTTTTTTGGTCTCTCACCTGAATTTCCAATGCATGCATAGTTACTTTCTAGTCATTGCTACTTGAATGTTTAAAAAAACATATCATTTGCAACACATTCAAAACAAGTAAGTTATCTTCTGTCTAAACCTCCTCATTGTTCTTTAGCTCATCAAGTTATACTACTTGTGTAAATTAGAAGTCCAGGAATAATCTTTGATGTCCTTGATCCATTTCTAATCTAATGCCAAGGTATAGTGATTTTTATCTCTTATGTACCTATTAAATGCATCTACTTCCCTGTTTCCGCTGCCATAGTCAAGGCCAATGTGTCAGAACCATTTTAACAGCCTACAAATGCATCCTCTCTGAACCTTAACCTTGCAAAGCAGCCAGACACAGCCCTTTAAATTCAATGCCAATGTGTCAACATCCTCTTCTTCCTAAATCCTTTAATGATGTTTTAATACTGTTAAAGACCCTAGTTGTAGGATACTACAAGCCACTACATGACCCTGCAGTCCACTCCTGCAGTCTAAACCCATGGTTTCGGCTCATGGTGTTGGTGTCTCTCAGTTCCTAAAAGGTGTTCGTGCATTTCCACCTCTACATACACTGCTGCCTCCATCAGGAATTTTCACCAAGTCCAACCCTCTGCCACTCTGTCTTGTGTGGTCTTCTCCAACTTCAGACCCTCCCCCGAAGTGCCATCTCCCTAGCTTTCCAGTCCAGATACACATTTCATCTGCTACAATTCTATCAGGGCACTTGATTCAGTGTCTAATAATTACTCATTGGTGTGAGTAATTCATGATCTTTTTTCCAAGCTATGAATTATGCACCATGAAGGTGGCTGTTTCAAGATTTATCCCAAATTTCCCTCAGCATTTACCAGAAAGCCTGGTATATAAAGGGAATTCAACATTTGTTGAATGACTAAATGAATGATTCCTCTACTCCAGAGTAAGTTGTAAGAATGTTTTACATCTCTTTTAAAAAAAGGAAAAAAAAAAAAAAACTTAAATGAACTCCAAAGCTTAACTCAGTCCTAAAAACAGATTTGAGGATTATAATTGAATTTTGGGCCGAAACAGCAAGATTCCTTTAATAGATATAGCTCTCCTACAAAAGAGAGACTCATTAAAGTAGAAGTTGAAAAATGTGTGTAAACATTCCCAAATAAAGTATACAGTATTCAAATAAGAGCTCAGCTGCAATTAGCTTGAAGTCTAAATTGTATTCTTGCATCAAAAGTGGGAGAAAAATGAGCCATTAAGTCATTACTATTGTGACACAGCTCTGTACTACAGCTGAAGTGCGTGGCACAGCCATAGTCTCAAGCTACCTTGAGATCTGTCACATTCTTTCATTTTCAGATGGATTAAATGGATTATTTGACATTTTGGCAGATCACAGAAATCACTGCATAACAAAGACTTCTTTCATTCCTCATTAATTTCCTTCTTTGAGCTCAATGCAAATTCTTTTGGAACAAAGGTGTGTGATATTTCCTTTTCCATAATTTTATTTCAGTGTTTTATTTTTACTGATAAAAATAGCAGTTCCTACACAAAACATTCACATTTTATTAACTTCCATATCATTCTCTCTAATTAAAATGTAATGCATAATAAGACACAAACTTCATATCACATTTGTTGTCATTTGTATAGAGGGTTACGTACGTTTACAGTTTTGACATTGGAAGATTTTTTTTAAAAAGTCTCATTGATGGTGGATAATTTATTCAGTTTTGTCTGCCAAAGCATCCTTTGGGAAGCCAGGTATCTCCAGGCCACCAGTTAAATGATGATCTGGACAGTGCTTACACTGACTGAACTGGCCAGGGGAGAGTTTTTGGGTTCCAAGCTCATTTTCTCTATTCGGTTTGCACTGATTATATAAATTCTTCCTGATTGCCCTTTGCTTTACGGGGCAGATCTCCATTTACGACCTTCATCCAATCTCTAACATACATAACATTCCTCAAGATAATTCCTTTAATCAGATTCTCCTGCCTACCATTGGGGAGAGGGTATGTACTGTGGGACTGATTAGATACAAAGTCTATGCCAGCAAATACTCCTTGAGGTCCTACTATGTGGTCGGGGTTGTATTAGGCATTAGAAAAAAGATACAGACTTCCCTTCAACACAACATGCTCAGATTCAAGAAAGGGGATCATTGTAACGTAGTATGATAGCTACTGTATTAGCAGATCTGACTCAGACTTTGCAAGTAGAAGGCTTGTCAAAGAAATCACATCTCAGCTGAGATTTGGAGGGTGAGTAGGAGGAGACCCAGTGAGGGGGGTTGGAGGGGAATGCAGAACATTTAGTAAGAGGTAGCAGCCTACGTTCAGCTTGAAAACATCATGCACCATCACAAGATTACAAACAGGTGATCAACTCAGTGTGTAAGGAGCACAAGCTATGAAATAAGAGGTTCATGGCCTCTGACAGGTGTGTCAGAGAAGGAGTTTGAGTTTATCTTGTGTGCAGTAGAGAGCCACTCAAGATTAGGAGACTGCAAGGATTGCAATAAGTTTACACCTCAGGAAGTTCTCTCCAGCTGCAGGCTGGAAGGAACAGATAAGATGGGGGCTGGAGACCCATGAGGAAGTCGACAATGTAATCCAAGGAGAGAATTTATCAGAACCTGAACTACAGTGGGATAACAGAGATGGAGACAGTAGGGGACAGATTAGAAAGCTATTAAGGAGAAATATTAGGCGAGAGTTTGCAACTGATTGAACACAGGCAGGAGATGGCGTGAAGCCAGCACAGATACCTCCTTGGGCTTTTGTGTGGGTAGCATTACATTTCTTGAGACAATAACACATGCTTCCTATTAGCAGTGCTAATTACAAATAGCTGGGCACACTCCGGGATCCTGGATCCTCTAAGTACCAGGGTTCCATAGCATTTCTTAGCTGGAAACCTTCCTCTCTGCCAGCTAGGCAAGAGGTTAGACAGTGGCCTTTTTCCTCCATAAGAGGTTTTCAGTAGGTAGCCCTTTACCTTATGTCTACCCTCCCTTCTAGACGTAGCTGTTTTATAACAGATCAGACTGTGCTGTAGGTGTCTCATTAATCATTTCACTATCACACTGTGAATACTCTTAAAATAAGAACTATATATTATAAATCATAAATATATTATAAATCATACTCGGTCATTCACAAACTTAACCGTATACTCAACATTTTCAGTGTCTACACAGTGTCAGATACCAATTCACTGCATGCTCAGGACCTTGTGTGGTGCCTGGCCTAGAGGAGACCCTAAACATATGTTTGGTAAATCGAAAGCAGATGATTTAGTTGGCTACTTTTCAAAGATTTTTCTCTTTTTATGTGAGGAACTCTCAGAATAAAAACTTTCTGAAACATATTCAAGTATATTTTTAAATCCAATCCAGCTCAGTCTTTCTCCTTTACTCACGGCACCCACCGACTGACACTTATGAAGGAGCACTTTCTCTGTGTTTTGTTTTACAGATTGGCCTCTATTTTAGCAGTACCCAATATACAAAGTAATAATGTCTCCCATTTTCCTAGCAATAGGGATTAACCACTGATGCTTTGCAATGGATTTATTCTGTGTTCAAATCCTGACTTTGGCACTGATTAGTGGAATATTAGATGCGCTTTATTTCATTTATAAAAAACTCATGTTATCATTTTCATTGAAACAGGATCATAATAGAGCTCTATCATGGAATTGTGGTGTGAACAAATAAGCTAATCAGAACCTGACTCAGTGATTGATACACTTAACTCTAAATTCACTTACATTTATGGAAATGTTTTTCAACTTTTCACATGAATTTAATACTTGTAAGGAACTATGATGTATAAAACTTCATAGTAAGGAGGATAAAAAATATTTCTCAAATACAATAGAGGAGGTAAATTAAAAAATCGGCTAATTACCACACTGAAAGGGAGAGTCTGCTAAGTGGCACAAATACGACCCATTACTGTTTCTCAGTGGGGCTATTATAAAATATAGAAGCTGTACCCCACGCCCAGAAATCTTGATTCACTTAGCTTGGGCATCTGGGAACTCTTAAAGTACTTTATCATTGGTTCTATATGCAGGATATTTTAAAACCACAGACATAAAAAATCATTTGAGGGAAAAATTACTTCTGGCTGAGATGTCTGAGGTTCCTATGGAGAGACTTCTTTTGAGAGAGGGATATGTTGTTTTTTTAAACTTAATTAAGCACTGTGCTTTTGATTATGAATAATTAAAATGATAACGTTTTGGGAAAAAAAGCCAAAAAATCTGTCCCAAATTCCATCATTCAAGATACTCCCTTACTATCTCTATAGTTATCTGTACTTATGTAAGTCCTGTTTTAAAAATTATAATGAAGAAAAAAAGATGTAAAAATAATTTTAATTTTTTAACTTAAGCTAATATATCCAGATGTTATCACTGCACAATCAATATAAAATTAATGAGACATAATGAATTCTTTTTGCATACTAAGTCTTCCAGATTCAGTGGGTGCTTTGAATTTATGACACATTTTAATTCAGAGGAGCCTCATTTGAAATACTCAGCAGCCACGTGTGTTTGATGGTTCCATGCAGAACAACATAGTTCTAAAAGGTATGTCTCAGACAAAATAAGATTGAGAAATAGTCTGTGCCTTTTAACAATTCTTATTGTTGCTAGAAATATCAGTGCAAGACAACTCACATGGCTCACCCCAGAGTATGGATCACCTAGAATACTAGGTTAAGAAATACATATTTTATTTAATGGCCACATTAAGCATTGAGAATAAAAGCAGAATCAAAGGGTGAGAAAATCAATTAAAAACATGAAGCAGAGGTAATTATGTTATAATTTGAGTCCCAGGAAGAGGAGACAGAAAAGAAGAAACAAAAGGTAGCATTCGTAAAAACATGTCAGTTTATGTACTGTGTGATGGTGGTAGAGAAGCCACAGATGCTGGCTCGGCAGATGGGAAAGGCAGGGTAAGAGCTGGTCTAGGGAATCACTTTAATCTGAGAGCTAGTTGGGATCCAAATATCTAGCAACGGCTTGGAGTGTGGGTTGGAGATTAGCGAGTGAGAGTTGAAACCAGACAGTTAGAGGACAGAGGAAGTCTCTGGGAAAATATGAAACCTCTCCTTAGATACCTGAAGCACTGATATTTGGGGGAATAGATACAATTTACTGCTGCAGCTCTGCAAGAAAACTAGTGGTGCCATTTGAGAAAATTGCAGAGAGGCAGATGTTGGCTTCACATGTAAATAAATTATCTTATCAATAGACAACTTTCCGTACATAAACTATGTGTCCTCAGAAAATAAACCCCCAGCATGTCTCTTAGACCAAAACTTTAGAAATTAAGCCACATGGAACACTTGGGCCACACACTTTGCTCTCTAAATAGACTTTATATCACTTTTATATAATTATTTAAACTTTAGTATTAAAAATCCAGCCTGAGTGAGTCTGCTGGTCTCTATTATTAAATTCCTTTACTTATAAATCCCTGAGCATTACTCCCCTGCATAGTAGTTTAAAATCTGGCACACACATTCTGGGAGCGTCTCTGGATTGATCTTCATCTGTTTACTATCGGAGTTTTCTGGAAAAGACCTTCTTACCACCTGACTCCTTGGTTCTCTAATCAGGGCTCCAGCTTCCTTTGGCTGTCTTCTCTCTGTCCTACTAAATGGAACTACTAAGACAAGGTGTGTTTGTTGGCTTCCAAGGAGAGTTCCTGGCTCCTTTTACAGCCTCACCCTCTCCTTAGACTGAATCAGATCCAGTGTAAAGGATATTCACACACTTATGTTCTGGTAAACTTTTGCTATGATGTGAAAAAAAGTAAAATCTGAAGCTGCCTGAGGCTGAGTTTCTGACTCTTTATCCTTTCCAGCTTTAGCTTTCTCTTGCTCCTTCAATTTGTCCTTTCATTCCTCCTGCCTTATTCGATTTTCTCTTCCTTTTCTCTTATATATTATTTTCTTATTTTATCTTGAAATTAAAAGTACTAATGGTAACAAAAGGGTTTCAATCTTGCTGCAAGGAAGGAGGTTTTTTTGCATTGCAACTTGGTCTTTTTAGAAAACAAGAAGGACTTAAGGAGCATTTGGGGCATGCCAGATGATATGTCCCTCTTTTTTTATTTTTTGGACAAATTCCTGTAGGCAAAAGAGGTTTTGTGGATCCATATGTCCCAGGCTATTAATTAAGTCTTCCTCCACTAGAAGACCGTGCAATGAAGGACTAAGCATAGATTCTGGAGTCTGGCTACCAGATTCAGTTTAGTAACTGTGTGTTTGGCACTAAATCCTTAACCTCCTCTTTCTCCACTCTCAACCTGTTATATGAGGATGTCCTTCTATTTATGTATGCATGTGGCTGGCACTGAGAATAGAGTAGGAATGAAGTATAGTCAGGGTTTGCAGAGGAATAGATTTAATACACAATTTATAAATTATTTTATGATATTCACCCAATGTCATAGTTACTTTTTACTCGTCATTGAGACGAAATACCTGAAGCCCAAAGTTGGGAAAGGAAAAGTTTATTTCTTACAGGTTTTGGAGGTTTCAGTCCATACGCAGTTGGCTCCAAGGCAGGCAGGCATGGCTGGGCTGCAGGTCATGGCGGCTACAAAGAGCAGATACACCTTCTTCCTGCCATTACGTCACATCCTGGTTCCACCCCTATGTGGGTGGAGCACTGACACCATCAATCCAAGCACTAGACAATGAACCATCACAAATGCACAATGCAAACTCATGAGGCCTGGGAGCCACAGACATAAACCACGACACCCAAAGAGTGAAATGCAGAAGAGTACAAGAGATCTATCCACACACTAAAGACTTGAAGAATCCAGCTAAGGATCTGGATCGTGTGGCAGTGTCCTTCATGTGTCCAGCAATGTCCTCCATGAGTTCTACTGGGGGCCTAACCCACAAAAATGTCTCATGCAAGCCTGTTTCAAAGATCTGCACTGGGAAGGCCCAATGGTCAGCGATAGAAGTTAGAAAGCCTGTGCCAGTGGGGTGAAGGAGCTGTGCCAGCAGGCTGAGGGATCTGCACTAGAACCACAAAGGGACACTCAAGGTAAGGACCAGAGATTCCCCTAAAGAGAACCATCCTCAGCAACAGCAAGGACCTGGACTCCTCCAGGGACAAGAACACCTGAGTTCATTCCAGGAAGACTAGCTTGACAAGCTTCTCCTGGAGAATCAACAGCACATCATCTTCCCTCTAATTCTCCTTTTATGCTATTGACAATGATCCTGAGGTGGGCCTTCCACACCCAGAACCACACTGACTCAGTTTAGCTGGCTGTTACAAATTGACCATTAGTCAATACACCAAATCAGGCAATGAAACTCTTTTTTTTGATAGAGTTCACATTCTCCAAAGAACACAGAAAATAAATACATATATATATGCATGAACACATACACACACTATATATGTACACTCACGCACATGCACATTGATAAACACAAAGAAAACAAAACAAGATAAATGGATAAACAGTAATTGGGGCATGCTAAGGTTTATGGCATACTCACATGACGTTTCAGCGGAGTCATTTATAGCCACACAGAGCATATTCAAGCAAATAAAATAGAGTAAAATGCTGATGACAGAAGCTGCTTTTAATGTTTGAAAAACAGGAAGACCAGTATGACTGGAGGAGAGTGAAAAAGAAGAACTTCTTCTTCTTTGAGTGTCATGCAAAGATTGGGTGGTTTCCTGAATGAGACACAAAGCCACTGGGGAAGGGTTGGAGATGATTATAAAGTTCATTACCAATGTATTTGGAATTCAGTATGGTTGTCATTTATAGAAGTGAGAGAAGTTAAACAGACAAGCAGAATGGTGAAATGAAGAATTTATAACCAGATGCATTAAATTTTAGATGCTTGTTAGATTTTTAACTGGAAAAGTCTAATAGGAAGTGGAATATATACATTAGGATTTCACATACTACTCTAAGTCCCTGAGATGAGAACTGAGTATTGGCCACTGAATTTGATATCAGAGAAGTCATTACCTGACAAGAATATTTCAGTATTTCTACACTTCCACGGAAGGATACAAAGCTGATACGAAAGAATTACAGAGAGAATAGAAGAGTCTCGTGCATAAGAATAAAATTCTAGAACAGAAAGTTTAGAAACTCAGTAAGTAGATTTCACCATAGGTAAGCAGCAGCTAATGAAAGCATTAGTGAGCTAAAAGATAAATAATACAAAATGTCTAATTGAAGCCGGATAAAAATTTAAATATATAGGAAGACTTCTGTGAAGTATGTGAAACATGGTAAAAAGATCTGGAATACATGTAAGTGCCAGAAGAAGAAGGAACAGAGTAGAAATAATCATTTAAGAAATAGTTTTTAAGTTGATAAAAGTCTTCAAATCAGATTTTAAAACCCCAGACATTTTAGATAAGATAAACACACAAACACACACAAAACTACACCTAAGCATATTAGAGAATGACCACTGAACGTTAAAGTAAAGAGGGAAAGTCTTAAAGCAGCCAAAGAATGGAAAAATACACTAAATTCAAAGGAATAACTGTAAGAATTCAGCCAACTTCTCCATAAAAATGTTGGAAGCAGAGACAGTGGTGCATCATTACAGGGTTGAGCAAAATAACTTCCTACCTGGAATATCACACCTAAATAAAGATGCCAACTTTAAATAACATTTTTGCACAAGCTATGAAGAGAGCAGACTTACAAACATAAAATACTGTGGAAAATGTTTCACACAGCTAATTGTGGTCTCATATCAAAACAGAAAAGTGTTAGAAGAATGAAAATCACTAAAGAGAGTAAAATGGAGGCAATCATTGTAAACCAGTTAAATTTCCTCTTGAAAGCCAGACAGTTTAGCTATGGTGACACACATCTCAGAGTTCTGGATTCAAATAAGTTCTGTTAGCCCCTTTCATGTGTCTTATGTCAGTTCCTGCTTTAATTGATTATAGCACTGTATCTCTTTCCATGGTAGTGGAAGCTGGAACTATTGTACGCACAGTGCTGGATTGCTTATCAGATTACCCTATGAACCTCAACTACTGACCTAATTGCAACAGCTATAGTTGGAAAATGAAACTCAACAGAGCAATGAATTGAAGAGTTTGTCAATGAAAACAAATAATTATTTTGTGTTGAACACTTGACCCTGCTCTCTACTTAGCATACAGGCAACTGCATAAAATTATGCTAATTCTAAATACTTTATTCATGGCCACTTTGTTCTAAGACAAGAGAGTGTACCGTGTACTTAAAAGAAAATTGCACATGACTTTCCTTTCCTTATTGCTCAAAAGCACGTCACTGTCAACACTTCATGGTGGAGATACAGGGAATAAAAATACGATAGTGAACCAGTCACTTGGAATGGAAACTTTGCTTAGAAATAGAATAATGAAATTAGAAAGGTCTAAAGGTGATTTAGTCCAAAGACTTCTGCAAGTTTGGAGAGGGATAGGCAGAAATTTGGTAAGAGTCTTCTGTTTCTCCGTCAGCCAGAGCTGTCTTGAGTGTTCAGGTCTGATTTTATTTGAAGGAGAGATTCCACTGCTTACATGTGTGTTTGGGTTTGGAGGGGGGATTTGCAAGTTTAAAGGCAGCCAGTGGTCTAATTCAACTTCTTTAAAGAAGAAATCGGTTAAAAGTGAAGAAAAAGATCAGCAAAGCTTCAAATATAGTATTATGGAGCATCAAACCATTTTTTTTTCCATTCCTGCAAAGGAAACTCAAAGCTTTATGCAGTAAGAGTGCTTATGCATGAAATCTTAACATTAGTCAGATTGAGAAAATTACCTGGATAATTTCACCAGCAAATAAATCAGTTATCCAAAATGATTTAGTGCAAGACTAATGACATTTTATATCATTTTAAGTACAGTTAAACTTCTTAATTACAGACACTCTAGAGACTTAGAAAAATTGCTACAATAATGGTGTATCATTAATTCTGGGGAAGCGCAGCCTCTTGGGCAACACCTGCCAGGTACATACAGTTGCCAGGTCCATAGAAGGCTTAGAAATTAATGGTTTTCTTGCTCTTAGGCTGTAGCAAACTCCTGAAATTTCTACCTAGCAGATCTGTTATCTACAGTAGTCATTTCAGAGATTACAAAGTCAGTAAAGCTGTTATGTTGTGCATGGAATAGACAGAAGCAAACCAAGTGGACAGATCACAGCAAACAATCTGTAAGCTCACACAATAAAAGAATTAGGAAACTTGAAGACTTACTTGGGAAGGACCCAGAGGAAACAAAAGTAAAAATTTTGAAATAACTTTTCATATATGTGAAAAAACAGAATTAAAAATTTGACTAATACCTCTAATAGATTGAAAAGGACTGAGGGACGTGGCCAGGTAATTTGAAAGAAATGATCACTGGAAATTTTTCTTAATTAAAAGTCACTCAAACTTATAGATTGAGAAAACAGTATTCATTAAAAAACTACCTCAAAAAATAAAAATAAATCTAATACAGAGATCCTTATAAAATATAAACTATATGTGTAAAGAAAGAAATAGATTACCATGATAAGAATAGATTGGAATGACAGTAGATACATTCATAATAATAGATGCCATAATACAAAAAATTATATGTTCAGTTAACTTTAATTCCTATCTTATTAATTCTTCGACAAGAATAAAGTCAACTAAATTCTCTCACAAAATATTAAAAAATGTATAAAATCACTCTTGTTTCTAGAAAAATCAAGAATCTGTAAGTGTATTCTTAGCTGCAAAGAATTTATATACTGCTAGATGAGATGTGGGTTCATTTTCTCACTTATTTTCACTAATTTATGATCTTATATTAGGTCTATTAATACAGTTCTTCTTCTAATTTTTTCTTGATTGACATAAGCAAAAATCAGCCTTGGGCTAGGATGTACCTCAAGAGTAGAGTATTTGCCTAACATGACCACCTGGGTGCAATTCCCAACACCACCGATTTTTTTAAAAAATCAGCCTTGATTACACTACATTTCACTCAAACATTCCCAAAACTTGGCTGCTTAGTATCACCTCAATCAGGATCCAGCAAACTTTTCTAAATAGTTTAAATATTCTGTAAATATTTTAGGTTTTATTAGACACATATGGTTTCTGTTGTACATTCTTTTCAGTATTTTTGACTTCCTCTTAAAGAATGTCAAAACCATATGTACGGCTTATATGATCTACACAAACAGATGATAGGTAGCATTTGTTGGAGGAGGTTTTTGCTGACCCCAATCTAACCTGTCAATTTGACTGTCATTGTCCTCTGCTGTCTTACAGTGTTCTTCTACAGACTCTATTACACAAACACTATACTTTGATGCATTTAACATAATAAAATATGTTCATTACTGTTATGGTTTAGAAGCCCCAAAATCCTCATGTTTGGAAGGTTATTGGATCACTGGGGCACTGTATTCATTAGTGGGTTAGTCCACTGATAAACTCAAGTTGACTTGCTATTAGAATGTGAGTATGTTAAAAAGGTCAAACACTGGTTTATGTGCTGGATTATGTGCTAGACAGCTTTCTTTCACTGTGATAAAATACCTGAGATAAATAACATATAAGAAGAAAAGAGTTTTGTGTTTGTTTTAGCTTATAGTTTTGGAGGTTTCAGTCTATGGTTTTTTGACCTATTGTTTTGGGCTTGAATGAAACAGTGCATTCTGCAGGGTACATATCAGTGTAAGCTACCACTTCATGATAGCCAGGAGGCAAAGAGAGAACAAGAGTCCATGATTCTAATATCTCCATCAAGAGCCCACTCCACTGACCTAACTTCCTTCTGTTATCCCCATTTCCTAAAAGTCTCAATTGCTCTCAGCAACACTAAAACATAGCAACCAAGCCTGAAGCATGTGAGCCTTTAGGGACACTTATCCAAGTCATGGTGTTTCACTGCTAGCACCCAAAGGCTCATATAAAATGCATTTAGACTTTCTTCAAAATTCCCCAGAATCTAACCTGCTCTAGAATTGCTCAAAAGTTTAAGGCCAAAGTCACCTCTGAGACTCAAGGCAAATTCAGCTCTGAACACCTGTAAAAATCAGAAAGAACAAGTAATCGCAAGATACAATGGTGTAAGATAAACATTCCCATTCCAAAAGGAATAGGGACCCAGAAAGAAATAACTGGTCCAAAGAAAGACTGAAACTCAGTAGGGAAACATTAGATGGAGAGTTCTCCCTGCTCTGTGATCCAGGAACACTGTGGCAGAAGTGACCTACTAAGGGCTTGAGCAGCCCTGTCCTTGGTGGCCGCAGTTTACAGGACCATTCTCTTGGGCTGCTGAAGTATGTCTCTAGTAGACTCCAGTGGCTTCTGAGTGATTTGATGGCCAAATGTGAAGAAATTCCAGAAAAGCAATTTTACAGATGAGTCTATCAGAATAGAGTACCGCAGACTACGATTTTCAAATGAAAGTCTTTGAATTAACTTTATAGCTTCACATATTTGATAGGTAGGGTCTTATCAATTCCCAAGATGTCCTTGAGAGACCTTTTCTGTTTTCCTGGTGCAAAACTCTTGATTTCTTCTAAAAGGTTTCTAATCTCCACATTCTCTTTTGCCTTTACTCAGACTCTTCTTCTCACCAAGCTGTGAATTTTTCAAATATTTCCACTTTGCTTTTTGTTCCAAATTTACCCTGTAAATTTGTCTAAAACCATTTCTGTGACTGTTTTGCTGCCTTAGTATTTCCTCTGCCAGATAATCTAGTACATTGTGTTTAAGCTCAGCCTCTCACAAAGTCTCAGGGTATGGACAAATGGAAGCCAATTTTTTTTTGCCATAATGTTATGTAATGTCATATGGGTAGCCTATAGTCCAGTTCCCAACATAGTTCTTCTGTTCATCTGAAACCTTCTAAGCATATCTTATACTGTCCTCATTTCGTCTGAGTCCTCAAGAGAATCTCCTTTAAGCTCTTCCTGGAGCGTTCCAGGCTTTCTCTAAGCCATTTCTGCAACTTTTTAAAATTCCTCTCACAGTCAGATTCCAAAGGCTTATGAACCACATCTTCAGGTCTAGTCATAACAAAAGCTTCATTTTTGAATGCCAATTTTTTCTGTTAGCTTGCATCACCATGAAAAATACCTGAGGTAATCAACTTATGAAGAAAGATTTGTTTTATCTTATGGTTTCAGAGGGTTCAGTCCACGATTGTTTGGGATACTGTTTTGTCCCACTGTCTGGCATAGTACGTATGACATAGTGGAGGCACGGGGTAAAAGAACATTGTTCATTATTCTGTTTTCCAGGAAGCAAAGAGACAGAAAAAGTAATTAAGTGCTGGTATCTTAATAGCTCCTCAAGGGGATGCTCCAACTTCCGTTCACTGTCCCCCACTCCACAAAATTTCCACCACCTCTCAATAGCACCATAGGATAAATACCTAGCCTTTAACACATAGGCCTTTGGGAAACACTTAGCAGATTGCAAATGAATAAAACTGCCACTCCTTGCAGGACCTCAGAATTTTCAAAGAAAACCTAGATAAATCACTTAACAGGATATATTTTAAGTTCATGATAATTTCTTTCAAACCATTATCTATTATGAAAATTCACAGGTATAACCTAGAGATTCTTCCTAAACTGTTCTCATAAGCTTTTTTAAAATACAGCATTTCTACCATATAGAAAAATACCTGGTCATTTCATAGTTCTTTTTTCACTGATAATGTGTTAGTTACACCAAAAGTTATGCCTGTGCTTTCTCTCATTCCTATTTGTTTCTGTATATCCTTATGTATTCCTGTTAATTATTGTGGAGGGCTTCGACTTAGGGTGTTCAAAAAATCACACATGCCTTCTGCAGAGATGGTGGCTATCTGTGGTGTGTGTGTGTGTGTGTGTGTGTGTGTGTGTGTGTGTGAAAAAGGGGGTTAGGAAGAGGAGTAGCAGGATGAAAGTCCTCTCTTAATAAACAAGGGAACTGATTTGCTTCCTTGATCTTTTAAACAAACAAGAAATCCCTGCGACTTCTCTTCCCCTCTCAGTCATCAATTACATCACTCAATCAAAATCCTCTTGTAATCACCTTCTAGCTCCCCACATAGCCAGGGCTGTACAGCATAACTCCGGCCATATCCACACCGAAGCCCCAGCATTAGCAGGATGTATCAAGTTGCTTGTGATGCTTCATTCACCGTAATCAGAAAAAGAAGTCAAGCGTGCACATTCATCATAGTGACCGCGTAGTTTGTAGGTTAGGTGTTGTGAAGGGAGAAGATAACTTTGATTAAGTTAAGACAAACTATAATGGATGAGAGTTCTGCTCAGGCCCAATAAATCACCAGAGCCTTTCTATGCTAGCAGAAATACGCATCATTGGTAAATTAAAACTTGCTGGAGTGGCTATGCTGATGTCTTCAACATAGCTTCCACCCAGACACCTCGCCAGATGAAAGCTGGGAAAGGAAGTCTAGATAGCTGTGTGAGGGTATTTATGATGGGTGGAGAAAATGCATCACTCGTTTGACTTATTCAGGGCTATGCTTTCATAAACTCCAGTCTCTTTAACTGTGAGATGTGGTAGAAAGTCTCTGGTCTGAATGTCAGCCTCAGACTGCCAACTGAGATGGTGGTGTTGGGACCATAAATATGGATCAGCACTTTCTCAAAAAGCCTGGGAGTCAGAAGGCCGAAGGTGGCATTTGAAATAAGAAACTACAAGCCCTTTTGTTTTGAGTTCCCCTATGTCTATAAATTTTGGGACTTTTTTTCTGCAGGATTCTGAGTCTATGAATAAAATATGAGTGTGTTCTATTTCTTTTTTCCTTAATGAAAGATTGCTCTGGATAGCAGGACATTCCCTGCACAAAGAAAGCTACGCACTGGGTTTATTAACTCTTAGCAAATGTTCGCTCGATGCTGAGTAAGGAGGAGGTTTGGCGGTGCGGCAAGATAAAAGGCTTCCCCACTTTGTGTTTATCCTCTGGGTAATGAAAAAACAAATTGGCGATTTTGTATTTTTCCTGTTGGAAATTCATAAGGTCACCCAGGGAAAACAGAGAAGGTTAACTGGCATGAACACTTGCCTGTGAGCAGGGTGTCAGGAGGGAAAGGTCAGAAATGGATGAAATATTCCAAACCATAACCAAGGCTGCTACAAATGCAAGGCTTGAGGAAAAGAAATTGCATGCAATGAAAGTGACACCTTGGGAATTTCCTGGCTGCCACACAATGGATTGTGGGTTTTCAGCATGCATGTGTTGCAAACACCTTTCAGAAATCCAGAAATCCAGTCAAACAAAATCTCCCTTGTGGAAGCCCTTCATTTTTTGCCATTTTCTACTATCTCCCACTCCACTGGGTTTTTTTTGTTGTTGTTGTTGTTTCTTGCCTCTTTTCTCCCATTGCATTCAGTTCCTCCATTCTCTTTTCCTTTTTCATCTCTCTGCTACTGAGAAAAGCTACTTACTAAGGGTCAAAAGGTGACAGTGTGAGAGGCTTGGGGATCCTGAAGCTATAGCCTCTGCATGATTGATAACCTGCCCAGAGGTCAGAGTTCTGAAGTGCTGTAGGCCTCAGTTGCTAACTTTCCTTGACATAGAGTGAGCCTGGTCCTTTCTTTCCTTTGTTAGACACGACTCGTGAGGAACCAGTGACACAGGATTTCCTGCAAGATTGCCAAGTATTTTAGTAGAGTATTTGCTGCAGTTACCCTGGTCATTCCCCCGAATGAATAAAACGGTTTGGTTAAGGATTCTGTTAAGTTAGAGGGCAAAGGTCAGGGTTGTTTCCTGCAAGCAATCTTATTTCTCTGCTCTGGAGAAAATTGCCTTCTCTACCCTTTTAAGAATTCCTATTCTGTTCCACATCAGTCCAGAAGGATTTAGAGTTGGAAGGAAATTCTTATTCTGACTGAATGACGCTTTTCCAGAATGCAAAAGAATCCTTGTCTTTGATGGTGGCTACAGACAGGTGATGTTTGTCACTAGCATAAGAAAACAGAGAAGAATTGAAGAAACAGCATAAGAAGATGAGGGGACTCGGAAGAGAAATGGAAAGATGGTAGCAGTAAAGGATCAATCTGTGGAAGGAGGAGAATGCTGGAAAAGAGGAACAGCTGGGAGGGACTCCCTGCAAAGTGAAGACTGTTCAAGTGGAGGAATGTTGCACAAAATAAGTTCATTGAGTGGAGGATAATGTCGAATTTCAGTTATTCCTCTTTGGCTATCCTTCATTAGTGGAAAATTATAGAATTCAGACTGGAAAAGTACAACATTTTCATTTTATCTCTGAAAGAAAAGGAAAAGCCAGAAGATGCTCAGGAGGAAGCGACTGTGTATATTTTAAGTCTCGGCAGCAGATTTGAAGAAAGCCATGGTCCACAGATTCTTCAAGTTGGAAGATATCATTGACATCCATTAGATCTGACTTACTCATTTTGCCGATGAGAAAATCAAGGTCCAAGCTGTCAGAGGGACTTATTCAAAGTCAAGGTAGCCTGGGCTACTGAGCCAGTTGTGAACTGAACCCAAATGATCTATCTTGCTGTCATGTGACTTCTCCAGCTGCTGCTAGAGCTGACCATTTACTTCTCAGTGCAGGTGGTTGACCCCTGACAGAGCACTGAGTTTCTACCAGCTGCTCACCCCTCACAGCTCTGATAGGAGAAGCAATCAGGGCCACAAAAGCTTTCCAGGCAGGGGAGGCATGCAACAAAACTGGCTTGGCTGAGGCACTTACTAGCAGCTGAGCGCAGTGAGCAGGTGGTGTATAAAGAAGTCACAATGCCATAAGGTCCTGATAAATTACCTGTGTGACCTTCAACAAACCCTTGAATCCCTGAATCCAGACTTCTTACTCAGGAAATGATGGTGTTGGATGGTCCCACGCACTTCTACCATTTTATCATTCTGACCCTTTCCTTTCTGCACTTGGGGTAGTTAACAAGACTTAATTGCAACAGCTGACAACATGCCTGTCGTTTATTTCACTCAGTGTTAGCCATACTGGCCCTGAGATAAATTGGCTACTTTGCAGAAATATGCCCCAAAAATGCAAATTGAGCAACTTGCTAGCGCCTGGACTATGAGTTCTAAGTCAGGAAAAGACGCGAGCATATGAATTTCTGCTTAACTTCACTCTCTTTGATTAATGGACATTATTTCCGGTGATAGCCATAAAATACAAAGAATTTACACAGCAAGAAACTAGTTTCCTTAATCCCAACCAGATAATAGGAATAGAATCCCAGGTGTTCTGGCTGAAGTACTTCACTATCTAATTGAAGGCAAAGAAATAACAGTTAATTCTGTCATTGATGACATGGTCATTATGAAGAAAACCTAACTCCTTAATTGTTTTGAATTGGTTGCTCTCTTATTTTATGTTTTAAAAGGTGTCACTTCAAAGAAAAGGTTATCTCTTGGCAGAATTTACCCTTTAAAATCAGTCTGATAATAGCCCATTATGGACACGGAGGGATCAATAATGGGAATCTGAAAAATGGTTAGCTCTTGTCATATATGAAGAGAAGAAAGCCTCTAAAAGAGAATGTAGAGAGTATTGTTCTAACAGTCTTAGAAATGCTGTGAGGGCCTATTATGGTTGACACATTGTGTTAATTTGAGAAATTTGGAAATATAACTAAGATTCAGCAAGGAGCCAGGATCCTTACTGTCATGGTTTATGTCTGTGTCCCCCAGGCCTCATGAGTTTGCATTGTGTATTTGTGATTGGTTCATTGCCTAGTGCTTGGATTGATGGTGTCAGTGCTCCACCCACATAGGGGTGGAGCCAGGATGTGATGTTAATGGCAGGAAGAAGGTGTGTCTTGCTCTTTGCCAGTTTCTCTTTGCTGTTTGCAACCGCCAGGGCCAGCCATGCCTGCCTGCCTGAGAGCCAACTGAGTGTGTACTGAAACCTCCAAAAACTGTAAGAAATAAACCTTTCCTTTCCCAACTTGGGCATCAGGTATTTTGTCTCAGTGACGAGCATAAAGTAACTAAGACAGAATTTGGTACCGAGAGTGGGGTCGTTTGCTGTGACTATAGCTGGCCATGTTTTTCAAGAGGCTTTGGAAATGGCTTGTGGGCAGAGTTTGGAAAGGTTTGGACGTGTCGCCTGGATGCATCGAGCTGGAGAAGCTTAGGCTGTTCTGTAGAGGAGATACTGGTCAGAGCTCCAGAGATCAGAAGGCTGATAGAAAGCCTCATGGTAAAGACCAGGCTTGGGAGGTTTCTGCTAGGAAGAAGGACTGCATTGGTTGTTGGACTCCACATGATGTGTGTTATGGCTTGGCAGAAAGTTTGTCTGCATTTTGCTCCAGCCCAGAGACTTTGCCTGAGACTGAAACAAAGGGCAATGGATTGATTAATCTTGAAAAAGAAATTAAAAAGCAATCGAATATTAAGGCTGTGGCATGGCTAATGTTGGGGGCTTTCAGCAAGCTTTATGTTTCAAATCAGGAGCATAGAGCCCAGCAGGATAATGTACAATGCTGTGAGTTTGGCCCGAAGGAAAATTCCAGGAAGGCTGTGGATTGTAAAGACAGAGTTGAGATTTTGATTCCTGAGGAGAAACAGAGAAATAAGAAAGATGGCCCTGGGGCATCCCAGGAAGTGGGTCCCTACCCTGTGCAGCCTCACAGCAAAGATGAAAAAATTTGCTCAGAGGGAAAAGCTGCAGAGCGCTATGTTCCAGAATGGCGGCAGCAGCCATGTGAGGTTCCAGAATGGCGGCAACATAGAGAAGCTTTTTCTCACAATCAGGTAAACAGAGCCCTGAGATCCAGGCAACTGACCCCTACAGCCAAGAGAGAGAAAAGCCTGGCTACTGCTCCAGCTAGCAGCAAACCTTGGTGGCATCCACAAGGTGCTGATTTTAGGTGCAAGGAAAATGCACAAATTCTGAGGGTAAGAGGGCTTCCACCTCGATTGCAAAGGGCCTGGCTGGCCAAGCAGTGTGCCCCTGAGAGGGCAATTTGTGAAGATGTAAATATGAAGCCAAAGGTACAGTGGAGACCCCAGAAGTTTGGAAAAGCCAGGAATGTGGATGATCCAAGGGAAGCAGCAAAAAGCGAGCAGAGAAGATTTAAGAGAAAAGCTGTGGGTGTTGAAATCACTGGAAGTGCCCTGGGGGTGGAATCACCCAAGGCTTTTGGAGCTTATAACCAGATTGCTTCAGATGCTCAGCTTGGAACTCTAGGACTTAATGTTCGTCCTGCTGGATGTTTGACTTACTTTGTTTCCAATGCTTTATATTCCCCTTTTTGTAACTTTTGGAATGGTAATGTTTATCTTGTGCCTTTGCATTACAGTAATGTTTAACATTGTTTCATTTGTACAGGGGCTTACAGTTATGAGTTTACCATAGATCTTGGAGGAGACTTGTGACTTGGACTGTTCAACAACGCTGAAACTTAGGACTTTGGCAACTCTTGGAGGTGGACTAAATGTCTTTTGTGTAAAGGATGTATATGAGTCCTGGGGGCCAGGGGTGGAATGTCATGGTTTATGTCTGTGTCCCCCAGGCCTCATGAGTTTGCATTGTGTATTTGTGATTGGTTCATTGCCTAGTGCTTGGATTGATGGTGTCAGTGCTACATTCACATAGGGATGGAGCCAGGATGTGATGTAATGGCAGGAAGAAGGTGTGTCTTGCTCTTTGCCAGTTCCTCTTTGCTGTTTGCAACCACCAGGGCCAGCCATGCCCACCTGCCTGAGAGCCAACTGAGTGTGTACTGAAACCTCCAAAAACTGTAAGAAATAAACCTTTCCTTTCCCAACTTGGGCATCAGGTATTTTGTCTCAGCGACGAGCATAAAGTAATTAAGACACTTACTTTGTAAACATCCTCAGCATGTGTAAGAGGAGGCACATAGGTGATGAGAGCACTACATCCACCTTAGGGTGGGTAGGTAGCCTGCTTACAATATAAGGGAGGAGAAGTGGGTTTCTCTGCCCCACCTTTTGCTCTGGCCACTTTTGCTGGTTGCCACCTTGAAGTTGGTCTTGTGCCATGCCATCCTGCCTTGGTGCCAGCTGATTATGGACTGAAACTTCCACAAACAGTAGGCTAAACAAACCTTTCCTTCCTTTATCTTGTGTGTTTTGTCTCAGCTTTGAGAGAAAAGTGATCGGTGCAGTGCCCATGTTCACAAAGCATTCTTTGAGGTTTGAAAAAAGACTGGTTGAAAAAGCTGAATTATCAAATAGCTTTGGGATGTTGAACAAAGATGGGGAAGCTAAGCCAAACTTCATAGTAATCAAACTTTATATTCACAACTGACAGAAATAATGTCAAAGAAAAGAACTAGGTAATAGGGAATATTTATCCACTCATACAGACCATAATGTAGCTCTGACTAATTGATCAGATGGGAGGCAGATATAAGATTTGAAGGCACCATCTTATTCTTTACTATTCTTTTCTCTTAAGGAGAATCCAAAAGTTAAGTCAGGGAATTCCTCATTGTATATAACTGTGACTTTAATTTTCATGGTAACCGTTCATTACAGATTTCTATTTTTAATGACATGACATCTGTTTTCTTTCTTGATAAGAGCTTTACTGTTAAATGCTACACAGTGATGTAAAAAAAAAAAAAACCTGAAGGTGGAAAATGAAGACTAGAAAACAGGAAACATCAGTTCTCTTAATAAATATTCATTTTGTGGATGTTACATGCCAGGCACTGTGCTATTAACACATCGGTCTCTTTTTCAGTTTTCAGAAGTTTCCTTCAAATAGTGTGTGGAATGATATCACCTAACAAATGCCTTCATTCATAACTTCTTGGAAGTCACGTGTTAAATTAACAAGGACAAAGTAGCAGTGCACTTTTATTCTGTCTAATTTCTTACAGTCTTATCACCATAGAAAAATCTGTGGTCCATCTCCTAACACATTTAAAAAATGCGATTCAATTTTTAAATAAAATTATTAGTAACGCTATGTTTTGTCATTTTTTTCTTTCCAGTTTTTTTCAAATGTATAATATAAAAAGTATTTTTAGTTTTAATTTTATATTTATCATGGTTATACCCCTCACATTTTGTTATTTAGTGAATGTAAAATGTTATAATTTTTTTTAAATGTGGAAAGAATTTAAAAGCATTTACCTTATTATGACTATGTAAATCAGCTTTCATCTCTTTCTCTCTGTGTCATTCAAAAATAGAATATTTATAGAGCTCAGGTCCCAGGAGACTTACCTCATCAAATTCTAGTTTGTTTTATGTTTGAGATACAATATTATCATTTTCTTTTGGAAATTTTAATGACTTTTGACTGAGAGAAGAAAAACGAGATTGGTATTTACCAGCTTGTACTCATCCTAACTGGTGGTTGGGAAGCGCTCTCTTCCTGAGAACATTCTCATCCGAGAGTGACTCCTTCCTGCTCCATATGTAGTCAGTTATTTTTCAGTCAGTTATATTTTCTCTTCGGCACAGTGGTCATCCTGCTCCTTCTTTTTGTTAGAGTCTTGTTTCGCTCCTCTATTTCTTAGATTCATCTACATTTTCATTTTCCTAGGATTTGGCTTCTGTTTTGCTGCAGTGCATCCTCTAGGAACTTATTTGAGTTAAACAGATAAACATTTAGAATCCTCACACATTTGAAAAATGACGTAACTAGTCACATTTGCCTATTAGCTTCATTAGTTGTACAATTCGAGGATACAAGAAATTTTTAAAGAATCATCAGGATTACATTGTATTGCTTTCTAGCATTTACTCTTAGTTGTGAAATGTTTGATAATGTTCTATGTTTATTCTTCTTGTATTTTATGCTTTTTTCTCTCTCTTGGCAAGTTTTGAGTAATTGTTTCTTTTTAAGTTTTAGTAATTGTTTCTTTTTAAGTAATTAATATGCTCTTTTAAAATGAAAATTTATCTCTGATTCTAGAATTTTTGTTTATATTTCTTCATTTGGTGTATTTTAAAGTTTTTACTTACATATTATCTACTTAGAGAAAAACACCTGTTATAAGAATATATTTAAAATTTTTTACAGGCTGAAAATCATTGTAACTAACACTAAAAATAAGAAAAAAGAATAGTTCCAGCTTTTCAGATGCTTTCCTTTACCTTGCCCAAGAAACCACTATCCTAGTTTTAACAGGAAGATTTAATTCTTATACTTTTGTTTTGTCTGCAAATGAAATCAACACATTAACTCTTTATTAATGGCTTTTATTTATAGTTTCAACCTTTCCCTGAGAAGCCTCATAATCAGGACTGATACTTTATTATCTGCGTGTTTGCTTTTAAAGCTATATTTACTGAGCTATATCCTCAAGTGATCTTTTAAGGTCTCATTATTTTTTAGTTGCTGTGTTTTAATCTTTTTAATATCTCTGCACTTTCTCTGCCCTCTGTTACTTTTCTATACTACCTACATTATTGATGTAAATCTGGGTTGCTATCACCGTGGGTCTCTTGTATTATTTAGGGTTCTCTAGAAGAATAAAGTCCATAGAAAGTGCATGTACATTTTCACAGGGGAGTTATTAGGTAGACTGCCAGGACCAGAGGTGGGAGTGTCCACAGTAGCCATCTGCATACTGACAAGCCAGAGGATCCAGTAGCTGATTAGCCGAGAAGATGGGGCCTGCAGAATGAGAGGCATCGAGGGTCCAGCCCCGGTTGAAGACCTAGAAGGAGGTTACCAGTGTGTGTCTGTGTTGGAAGGCTGAAGAATCTGGAGACCTAGAACTGGGGTCCAAAAGTAACGGCAGCCAAGGACAGATCCCTTCTGGAAGGCAGAAACTCTTCAAGATGGACATACTTCCTCCTTCTCTTTATATTTCATCCAAGCTACAAGCCTCTTAGTTGGTGCTACTCCTCAGCTAGGTGACACTTGGCCCATCAGGTTGCTGGTCTCCTTGTCAGTCACCCACAGACACACCCAGAGCTGAGCCTCACTTATCTGCTAGGCATTTCTTAATCGATTCAAGTTGGCATATGATTAACCATCACATTCCCCTAATAAAGTGACTTTCAAGACGTGAAACTTTGCTTTACTCTTGTTCAACTGACAGATAATAGACAAAGTAACTGCACTTCCGGGAGGGCTGAGGAATCTAATTTTATTCCTTCTTGCCAGTGTGTCATTCCTTAGGCTGCTGTTCTCACCTACATGCTCAAAATGGGGTCACACCAATGCCAGGGGGAAGAAGAGTATATAGGATAGAGCTTCCATACATCGCTTCTCCTCACATTAAATCAAGTGCATTCAATCACATGCCACAGCTAGCCTAAAGGGGCATAGAAACTATGCTGTCTACCTGTTCCATCAAGAAGAAGGCTGGAATGGATTTAGGGAGGAAAACCAGAGACCTGATGCATCATTCATGTTCCTGTCATCGCTATGATACCTTCTCAGCTGTCTTGGAAAGTAAGTAGAATCTTCTTTGTTTTTTGTGTTTGTCCTTTTTCTCTTTGTTCTCTTTATCTTTCTCCCTGTTCTTTTCTGTTTTCCTATCTGCGTTGTATCTATTTTCTATATGATCTGTGTTTCCACTGGGATTGGGTTATTGTGGAGTATATCATTCCTTACTTTACTCTGGGGTTTTATTTAAATTAATAGATTTTGCTTTTCTATTCTTGGAAAGGTTAAACATAAAATTACTGTATATCTTACTTTTTTTCAAAAAGTGGGGAGGAAGAAAAGAGAGATGACACTAAGATAGCAATGCTAGAAATGAAGGAAATGGCTTGAATACTGACAGAAAGTCTTTTCCGCAGTGGGGAAGCTCAAGGAACCAATTATGATGTGGGCACCTCCCAAATTTAAAAATGATGAGAACGATGAAGAGCAACAGCAACACTCAGCTATTTTACTCCTTTTTTGTTTGTTCTTTTAAGTAAATGATTATGTGTGTTTGTGCATGTACATGTGTGTATGTGTGCATGTTGTGTTGTGGTTTATACATTGTGTCAACTTGAGAAGTCTAGTAGCTTAACTAAGTGATTTAGCAGCTCTACATCCTGAGGTAGAGGGAATCAGCAGTTACAGGTCTAGGCTATATCTCTAAAAAAGGGGGCTGGGGATTTAGCTCAGTGGCATAAGCACCTGCCTTGCAAGCAGGCGGTGGTGAGTTCGATCCCCGGTACAGATAAAAATGAAAAAGACCAAAAAAAAAAGGGGGGGGCTGGGGATTTAGCTCAGCAGTATAAGCGCCTGCCTTGCAAGTGTGTGGTCCTGAGTTGGATCCCTGGTACTGATAAAAATAAATAAATAATAATAAAAAAAAGAAAAGGTGGGAACTTTAAGTGACTCAGCAGGGGTCGGGGTCCCTTTTGTGTTAATCCTCATCCTGTGCAAGAGGAGGGCAGGCTGATGGTGTGAGCACTGCCCCACCCCCGGGGAGCAGCCTGCAAAAGCAGTTTGCCTTTTACAAGGCAAACAAGGAGGAGGACTGATTGCTGGTTCTTCTGAGGAGCCTGAGCTTCCTTCTCAGCGTGGACGGCATCTCTTGGCTTCTGGCACAGACTGTTTGGTTTTTGCCTGGGACTCTTCCACCTTTGTCATAGACTCTTCAGCCTTCCATTGTAGATTCTTCAGTGTTCCATTGTAGCTGCATTGGTCTCTTGATAGGAACTTGCACAGGACACTGCAGTAAGCTCCAGCCCTTGGGCTGGAACCTTCAAACTCCAGCGTGCAGAGTTCAACTTTGTGGATGGCCACTGTAAGCCAATCTTGTAATTTCTTATACAATTGTATATCTTATGCTGTATCTGTGTTTCTACTAACCCTAACTGATACATGTTGTTTCCTTGCTTTGTATGGAGTTTGTATTAAGTACTTTGGGTTAATTTATGCTATCATAACAAAAAATATGCCAAATTCCAGTGATTAACAGAAATAAACATTATCATGATCTACTGTGCATCAGCTTATGTTCAGTGTCATTTTATTACCCAACCTAGGAAAAAGCAATAGCCCTTTTTGGGAATATGGGCTGTGCTGTGTGATACAGGGAACAAAGACTCTGATTCTAAAAGCCCTTAATGTTTTAGTCTTTGAGATGTCTCTTGGAAATGAATCTCTTCCATTCTGCTAACATCCATTGGCAAAGACTTGACCCCAAGCAAGTGAGGGCAATAGAACAGGGCTATGTGGGTAGGCATAGGTACCAGGCAGAGGGACACCCCAAGAAGGCACAAAACATTTCAGTAATAACACAGTGTTCCAAAGACTTAAAACATTAGCCTTCTGTGTCTTTCTGTTGGAGTTGAGATGTAAGGAGACTGCTTCTCCTATACGTATAGCTTTAATCTTTTGCCTGTGTTCAATCCCACTTCTCACACCTGCTCTTCACTCTCTGTATAATTTCTAAGTCAGAAACTGCCCCAGAATTGGGCCCGAATTCTCCAGCACTCTCCACTGCAGCCTTTCTCCCCTGCCCAGAGTATAATTATGTTTAAACTCTAGCTTTTAATTTTTTCTTAGCCTGTCATCACCACTCCATCTGATTCTATTTTACAGAAACTGTTGAAACCTACCAGCTGCTTATGATTTCCTTCCTGTTTTCCTTGTAGTTGTGAGTTCATAATTTATTAAATTCTTTTGCTCTGATATTCATGGATTTTCACAGATGTAAGAAAACCATTTTTTGCTCATTCCCCTATACGGAATGGAGGAAAAAACAGAAACATACAAAATTGAATTTTCCCTAAGCATTCACATGCACACACTCACACATAGAAAATGTCTTATAAAAATTCAAAAATTAAGAAAGAATAAGGAATAATAGTAACATATTGGAATCTCTGTAGTGCTTTTTTTTCCAATGACATAGTCTCCTTTTAAACATCATTTATTGATTCTTTGCCACTATTAAAAAAGAAGATAAATCTGTCCTTCCTCACTTTGTCCTTGCACTGTGTTAGTTGTCCTGTCTCTGGGACACAATACCAATGTTTATAATATAAAAGAGAGAATGTTTA